CACCGATTTCTGAATCCTGAGGATAAAGAAATATTTGTCAAGGGTTTCAAAAATTACGTCAGTGAGTGTCCCCATAAGGAAACGAGCCTTACCTGACAGTGACCCACAGAATAGCCTTCCGTAGTCATTGAACGAATAAATATACATTGATCGCATTTGAATACAACATTTCACATATCGACGTTCTCGATACTCCAGGGGTTTTTTGAAAAGTTCCGAGCACTTCTGAACATTTCAATCCTGCGGAAAAAAATTGAATTTGGTTGAACAGCAGTTGGAAGAACTTGAATCCTTTAAAAGCTTCGTTTTTGTAAAATAAAAAAAATCGGCTCTATGTCATTTTTTAAAATCAATAGCGACCCATAAATTTAAAGTTACCGTAAAAATATTTCGTAAAATATTCAACGTAGAGCAATGGTATTCGCTGAGTCCTCAAGCTTATTTTAAAGTTTTCAGTGACAGGTTTATTTCGGTGAAAAGCTTATTTGAGTAAAATATTTGTAAGACTACGTTCTAGAGACTTTGAAAAAAAAAAACAAGAATGGGGATTACTGTTTTTCTATACGAGAAGTCCGTGTTGGATCAGCTCGGGGCTTTTTCGCTTGTTCGTGAAAAAAGCGAAGGATATCTCTGCACATTTGAAAGCCTCACTTTTCTTTTGAGTCAGAACTTGAACTTCCCTGCTTCGTGGAAGCTTCTTCAATTTATTTGTCACGTCTCAGAAAAGCTTCCGTATCATCAATTTGTTATTAATATATCCATTCACTCTTGCTGGTACACAAAAGTCTCCTTCCTGTTCGGATAAACCTTTTACAGGTAAAACAAGAGTACTTATACATTCGCGGTGCAGAAACATTTTTGTAGCGTCCAATTCGGCTCACGTATCTTCCGGTGGCAAAGGGTCAGCCGCAATACAGTCCAGTTGGTCGGTCGGTCGGTCGATGGTGTTGAAACATGCGCATTTCCGGATTTCCATCTCTGGAAGAAAGAAACGGAGGGGGGAGAAAATAAATTGAAAAAGAGGACCCGATTTCTGTGGCAGCATCGCGCGATGGCTTTGTAAGGCTTAAAACGGGGCAAAACTTCCGGCACATGACGCGAACAAAAAAATAATAATATAAAAAAATGATGTGTCTTTCGGTGTTGTCCTCGAAGTCTGCTTCAGTTGCGTTTTGAATTCCGCCGACTTCTCACCTACAATGTGCGGGGGGAATGGGCTCTGTGATTATTTGGGCATGGAATGAATGCTCTGTGCAAAATGTGTATGAGCAGCAGCATCACAGCATAGGAAATAAAGACGTTTTTTTAAAAGTGGAATTGTGTGAATATATTAGGCATGAGTGACTGAGTGATATGGAAACTGTGTCCGATTTTTTCCGCGCGCGAGTGAAAAAAAAAACAGGAATTTCAACACCAGAAATCCAATTTGTTTTACCGCTTTCTTTTTTTTTCCGAAATTTTCCGAAATACTTTTCACGAAGACATATTCCCAAGCTCTTTTGACCCAAAAAAAAAAATTCAATACAGGTGGACTTTTCTCTACAACCATCTTGTCTATAATTCCCTTGTTATTGGTGTTTCTCTACAACGAAATTCTGCCTACAACGATTTTATTTTTTCTGGTCGCTCGAATTTCGATGTAGAGAGCGAGTCTACCTGTATTCCCAGGATTCCAATTTCGGCAATTTTGTTGCGTCAAATTTCAACTTCTCAATCGTGAACCTTCAATACAAAATTATTTGCAAAAAATCGATGTTTTCGGATAGGGTTTCTTAGAAGATACAGTACATTTTACTTCGTGGTAAACGAGTTGTTGCAGAGGTCGCTTAAACGGTTTTGGAGAATGTTCGACAATTGGTTAATTATTACCTTCACGGTTTTCAAATACAGTTTGTAGCTTTGGACGTGAGTCACAAGAAAAATAACGCGCTTCAGAAAACATAATCCAGATGGCGCAGAATTTTCCAGACATCCATTTAAAAATTATGGAATATAAAGACGAACTTTTTCTTGATAAGATTGTTAATTTTGTCACACGTACCCCTTTCTCTCTGTAACCTCCTCCTTTTGCCGCATCCTTCAATTGATTCAGGATGGAATAATGATCCGAAATGACGACCATCATTCTATATACAGTACAGTACAGTACAGTACAGTACTTGATATATCTGGCATTATTTTCGGTATCCCGTGCCGCGTGAAGGATCACCTATCATTGAGATCATTCACTTTCCACCGGTCTGACCGAGAACTGCTCCACCGCATTGAGAAAAGCAGAACTAGACCCAATTCTTTCCCTCTCAGACAGAGTCAGATAGATAAATAGATAGATAGATAGCGAGAGAGTGAAATTTAATAACCAGCTTCTGGAGGTGTTGCCCTCCATGCTGGAGAATAACCAGGCTATTAATTTTTCCGCAGCTTCAACAAATTAAAAATAAAATAAAAAAGACTGCTCTCGTAATGGATTGGACTTTTTTTCTTATCAAACACAAGGGACCCGATGCATATTCGTCTTTTATGTAAATACGGTGGGCGTCCAGCAGATCTTATGGAGGGAAAGAAAGTGGGGCAGTGGACCGAATAACGCCTATAGCGAGGCTTCGAGTTTTGTTTCTCCCCCAAATTCGAACCTCGCGCATGATTAATTACAGCTAAGATTAGAAACCAGTGCCCCACGGAACCCTAAGATATGGTAACCGAAGTTCCCTTGGGTTCCGAAGATAAACTCGAGAAAAATAGAGAGGAAACATTAAAATGATATGGATCAGTTAAAAAGTATTATCACTGAAAAATAGATTTGAGTTTGGCAATGAAATTTGGGGGCTACAAAAAATTGGACGATAATTTGAATGCCTGAAGACTGAAAAAAAACAAATAGAAGGATTTTGCCGCATGAATTGATTCAATTGAAAGCTCCGCCAGTCAGAAATACTCAGGACAACGCATAATTAAAAATGATTTTTGTTGGCCTCTTTCCTAGGAAACATTGCCAGAGATATTTCAATAAAATGAAAGAATCGAACAAGATTTTCATTTTTTAAATTCGAGTTTGGCTATGAAATCGGCGCTTGAACAATTGTGACGGAATCTGAATGCCTTCAACATCAGACGAATACTGAAAATAAAATTCAAATCGGATTCTGCTCCAATAATAACTCTGCGGGTCACATATGATGTTCAGGAAATTGAATTCAGAATGCTTCTTCATTGATCTATTTTGCTTGGAAAAAGGCTCAAGTAATTTTAAATTACACATTAGACGAACGAAAAATGGTATTCTACAGGTAATAAACTACTGAAAAATCACTCCGAGTCCGGCCATTGAATCAAGGTATACAAAAAATTGCGACAAACTCAAGATAAATACGGCAAAACAACGTTAAAAACAGGTTATTCTCCCATACATAAAATTAAAATAAATAAAAGACTCCACGAGTCCGAAACCTGAATTTAAAATTCGTCTGTCGGTGTGCTGGGGAAACATTTGCAAAGAATTTTGCGCCCTTCATGGCAGAATATTGTGACGCATTCAACGCCACAAAAAAAACACCACGATTACAGCAATCGACCTTGTTTTCGGGAATTCAAATTCCTTTCATCGTGAAGTTCTCGCTTATTCCTTCGTGTTCGTGACACGGATCATATCAACAAGTGTTATCCTCACAATATACACGAAATGCCGGAATTCGCAGATGATGATGATGAATAATTCCGCATAACTTCTTCCAACACAGAAAGTGGTCAAAGTGTCCCTGCAAAATATATATACAGTATATTCGTACAGCGTACTCCGAAACACGCGGGTAACCGGCTTCGCGTTCCTACTTTCCTATTGTCTCGCGTCCATAAATCAATACAGCGAGGTGATGACGCACGAACCCAGGTGAGAACTATTGGCAAGTGGAGAAAATAACGAGCCGAAAAATACAAGAGTGGGAGAAACGAGGACTTCAAAGACGGGGAAAAATACATAGAATGATATGAGGTAAACAAGGGGAAGACGACATATACTCGTATCATTTCCGCTCTACACCGTCGCGTTGTGCAGAAAGGTGTTATTGGGCTTTTATAGTACCCAAGAAGAGGCATCAATCAAGAAAACCTGCGACGTTTTTGACTGGCCGGTTTTCTACATCATCAGGTTAGTTCATGCGTTCTAGCATTTTCCAGTATTTCTTGAAGGAAGAAAGGCATTCATGAAATAAAATCTCTGGTGGCAACTGGACATATACTGTTGTGAGGCAGTGAGACCCAAAGATGCGGATGTCATTGGTGCATCAGGAGTGTCCCTAAGTTGAAATGTCTCTAAGTCAAGTCTCATTTTCCCTTAGATTTTCATGATGTAATTTTTAATTGGTGTTTTATGTACAAAATACTCAACGTAATTCCATGAAAATAAAATTGTCTCCCAATTTAAACTGATTCCAATCAATATATTTCAACACAATATTGGCATTTGGGGAATTCTGATGCCTCTGTACAGTAACATACTGATGCCTCTGTACAGTACATAGAAATGTTGGCATTCTCTGTAAAAATTACATTCAAGTGAAAAAGAGTGAAGGAAGTTCCGCTACGCTAGAGGTGATTTTTTAAAATTAGCTAAATGGATGGTAAATTGGCGAGAGAAATGCCCAAGAACTTTTCTAACATCAATTTTAGGGTTGGAAATATCTGATTCTTGTAATTTGGCCTGAAATGTATTTGCAATTTTATCACAAAATGTCCTCAAGTCAAGTCAGTGTCCTCATGTTGGGCCTTTTTTATTACTTTTTATGGGAAAATAAGTGGCCTTATGTTGAATTGTCCACAGGTAAAGGTGTCTGCATGTGGGGTCTCACTGTAAAGGCCCATAATCAGAGGAGTAAAGCATATCTGAGCAATGCTTGTGGTACTTGATAAAATACAGTATTATTGTACAGTGATGATCCCAAATTTGAATTTTTTAAATCCTCAACTACAATTTCAACTTGTTCCAAATGCAACCCCCATCAGAATGTGCAGAAGAAACACGTCGAAAATAAGTTTTCCTCAGAAAATCATCCGGTTATTTCCCCGAAGACCTTCTGCTGGAAGCTGAAATTTCTTTTTCGAATCTTTAGTCTTCTTACTTCATTTGCTGCTATAAACACGCAGTTGAGTAATGTACAGTATTTATGTACAACTTTCCCAAATTTGAATAAAGAAGACCCTTCACAACTAATTCCTTAAACCGTTGAAAATTCAAATTACAGTATATGTTATACCCCCCAAAAAATACCTAGAAAATAAATCCCAAGTTCATCCCGTACCATTTCCCTGATGAACATCTGCTGAAAGTTGAAATTTTTTCGCTGAATCATGTCTCTTCATTTAATTTCCTGCTAACACGCACTTGCATATCCTTAGATTTTTTCAGAAATATGCAATACTACTTTATATTTATCGCACATTCCGAAAAAAAATTGTCCGTGGTAATTCATGATTTTTCATTTTTTCCCCTGAGTTAGAGAAATAAGATCTCAATAATTAGTCATAGTCTGTCTTTGGGAGGTTCGAAATAATTTTCGGTCAGGCGATTGCTTTTAATACGCACAGCTCTCGTGTGAATTTTATAATTAAACGGAAATGCTGCTTTCTTGATGATTGAGCAAAATGGCGAAAGTTGATGAATCCATCTCTTATCAATCAAACAAGACCGATTCTGAGGAAGCAAAAGTGTTGGTTCACGCTCCTTATTTGACTAAGGCGTTCCTATTGATTTTCGTTGTCCATTCACACCAGTCTAAAACTAAGGGAACGTCGAATTTTCCTTCAAATTCGAATTTCAATATGAAAACTTTGCAATGCGGTACAAATCGCTGAGCCTCATCTTGAAGACTCGCATATTTTCTTTCAGTCTAATAATTTATTGCTGTATCCCCCCCCCCCCCAGCAACCAAACGCAGCTGCAAATTTTCTCACGCCGAAAAAGAAAACCTTTCGAAGAGGAATTTTCTTACCACAATATATCTCACATTCCCGTGAGGACGTGATACCCAGGCCGAAAAAAATGGGTTTGCCGCTGGGATTGGACGCCGTTGTGCAAACGGTGTTGTTCCTGAACCAAATGGTACAATTGGCACAGAAAGACCCCAGTCTTGTCCTGGGTTCTGAAGCCTTACGTGAGTTTTCCTTTTTACCATTGTTTCCCACAGCCATGTCTTTCATTCCTTATTACCATACCGAAACAGCTTTTGTGTGACGTAAAATACACAGGAAATATCGAGGGCAGTCTTTTTTGTTTTGTTTACTGTATGAGAGAGAAATAACGAAAGAGGGAAAACAATTCGATTGATGCTTCATCAAATACGCTGACTTAAAAATATTAACGTGGAATTTTCTTTCAAAGTCAAATAATTTCTACATACACCTACGATAACCTTGAAACTATGATTCCGAGCATAAGTAATCTCGACAATATTGCTGAACATGAAATTGGATGTACGAAATGACCTTAATCTTCTTTGTGTACGCATAAACTTGAACTTCTTCAGATGAGAAAAAGCATATCTTTCAAGTTCATGTTGCGTAAACGTAAACTTGATATTGCTATGCCTTCAATAAAAACCAAAATATGTCCCATAGCGTACTGTAATCAATTTCTCGTAAGGAAATCCAATGGTACTCATTTAATAGGAATATTTATTTAATTTATGTAACCCACGCTTTTTAAATTCTTGCAACTTGACAGCACCTGAACATGGCTTTAGACATCTCATATGTTTTATTCCAATATGAAGTTCGTATTTAAAAAACCTTGAAAGATTTTGTGAAACGTTTTTTCTGCCCTTAATTCCAGCGTGCGAACCGTATAAAATTAGCAGAAATACTGATTTCTACCAACATTTGCATGGAAACAAGAGTTAGTTCCCATCAAGTTCAGAGGAATAGCCGTGTTTTTTGCGAACTCCAAAGCACATACGTACAGTATTTTTACTTCAGTATTGCACTGTAGTTTATCGCTTCGGATTCCCACAAGTTGAGCGAGCGTATCTCGATTTTTCTCTCAGAAGCAAAACAACTCACAAATAATGTCTGTGATGCTCATTTGAACATGAATGATTATTCCATGAGGAGATTTGGTCTAGGAGTGCCACTACATGACTGTGAACCAAATACTCGGAGATGAATGAATATTTAGCAGTTGCCGACAGCAATATACAGTATAGAACAAAGCCTGACAATCGAACATGACAATACAATGCTGCCCTTGATTTCGCTTTCCCGGAACGATCAGCGCAGTCGCTGTTTCGTATCAGAATTCATCCACCGAAAAAAAAATAAAGAAAAGGAATAGAATCAGGATTTCTTTGGAAGAAATGAAAGAAAAGGGATGACATACACACATGGCATTCGGTGTTCGTTCCGGGAAAACTTTTCCCCCTCCTCCTCCTCCTCCTCAGGATAATCTCTGACGTGAACGTAGAAATGGTCTGATCCTTGGCGTTTTTCCCCCCGTTCTGTTTGCTGTCGACGTTCGGGAAATTCCCTTCGACGTTATATGGGGCGATCCGACAATAATATGCAGGCAGTATTCCGACGTCACTTGACAGGACCCACGGGATGCCGGAGTGCCGCGTCACCGCCGCCAAAGACTCCCTGCGTGACTTGGCCAATGTGAGTCCGCAATTGGGGCGATCCGACAATAATATGCAGGCAGTATTCCGACGTCACTTGACAGGACCCACGGGATGCCGGAGTGCCGCGTCACCGCCGCCAAAGACTCCCTGCGTGACTTGGCCAATGTGAGTCCGCAATTTTCATCTCTCATGAACCGAAACTTTTATTTTCCGCTTGCCCCTTTCGATATTTCTTTTTTTTTTTTCGTTGCTCCGCGTCCTTTTTATAGACTCATCGCTCTATTATTCTGGAATGTAGCGAAATACCAAGAAATATACCGGGCTGATGACCCGGTGCTGCCTCGTCCGGAATGAACCCATATAATAATGAAATACAGGTGGACTCTCTTTCTCTCTCTCTCTCTCTCTACAACGAAATTCAAGGGACTAGAAAAAAAATAGTTCAAAAAAGGACGTTGCCGTGGGAAACCACGTGTTTTCTATTACATGAGGAATGAAATTTTGGTGATATTACTGTATATCAAATCAGTGCCAACACCTCATAGGACCACAAGTTTCCCTGGAACAAATCTCCCATTATTTTCTAAAGGGAAACCATGATTTAGCGTAAACTCAATTAATGCCACAGAAATTCTTGTCCTCGATGAAAAATTGGTCCAAACTGAAGGAAATTGAAGCTTTTTTCTAGAGATGTCAGGTTATTACCGGTCATAAGAAGCACGCGAGGATAATTTTGAAATTTTCACTTCTAAATTTCTGCGTCATTCGGTGGCGGATTTTTTTTTTATCTCCACCGTCGAGATCATCTTCATAGCTGTTGTAGCCTCTTCAAAAATTTTTAATTGATTTTACAAGAACTTGAAGTTGCGTTTTCTCATTGTAAGATTGGTGCACAATTTCAAGAATTAAGCTCTGCTCTTTTGCTCGACACAATAACATGCACAAAACTCTAATACATTTTATATTTTTTATAAATTGAAATAAATTGTGAAAATGGTGCATTTGAGCTTTGGCACTATTTCTTGTGGCTTTCTCTCATAAAACAGACTCAATATGACCTAAGTATTCCGCAAACAAGCTTATTTTCCCTATACAATAAAAGCTTTCAACTAAAACTTCAGCTCTTATACACTACCCCTGCTTGGTGTCATAAAATAATGTGCTGGGACAAATGATAGCACTACATGGAGGTTTGACTGTACTGTGCGGTAGAACTATGATTAAAGATAGCCCCATTTTCGATTCATCGAGAGGAAATGAAGTTATATTTTAGACAATACTTGTCAACTGAGCCACACCACTTATTTGCAATTGGTTCAATTATCCAGACTAATGCGCTCCGGCATTTTTCTTTCTTTCGATTCATGGAGAGAAAACTAAGTGCCGTTTTGTACTTGGCAGTTTTTCATTTTCATTTCCCAGCGATTTGCTAAATCATTCGGACTAACGCACTTCGGAATTCGAGCGAATTAATAAGGGTAATCGCAATTGATTACGAGAAGCCATTCCTGAAATTTTACGACATGTTGTATAGAAAAACAGCATCTCAATAAAGTTCACATGCCCGTGATTTATCATTTTATCATGCAGAAGAAATATATCCAGTCATTGGCCCAGGTAATTTCAGTTATACAGTTCCCGGGGTAATCGAAAAAAAAAGTTGATAAACCAGTCATAGATCCAGAGCATCGAAGTTTTCGACGTTAAAATAATTAGATCTAGTATAGAACGAAAATGGTGTTAATTAAGCACAATAGGTCAGCAGCGGACCTGAGCTTTTCGATCAGTGCTATTTGTACCTCTGTATCTGGCTGGTGATACGGCAAGGCACTTTTTCTCTGAATCTCCATTTTTAAATACCGTACGTTCAACCTTTTCACAAACAAATATATACCTGTTCATCGTTCGCTACAGCAGCAGAAAAGCTGATCTTCGCGTAGTTCCGTGATTTGTCACGATTTATTATGATAAATTATCCTTAATAGCTTTTTTTGCCATCGGTCACCAATCCTCCACCGCTTTTATCGCTCTTTCTCTTTGAAAAGTACTGTACAATTTTTCGAATAATTTCCTGTACCTACCGCAATGATACACGCGCATTTGCGTACCCATGCGAATACAGGTGTTCGATGCTCTGTCCAACATGCAAACCGGTTTTAAATATATTTTGCATGTACTGTACAGTACTTGTCCTTATAGTATTACTAGCTCTTCTATGCATTTCCCCACGTGTTGGCTTTCTGTTTTTTTTTTACTTGCTCTTTTACACGCTCTTTTGATGTTAATTCCAGATTAGCATGCCAACAGGAGAACATACAGTGATCTGAATCTTAGCGCAGAAGCGTTTTGGTGGTATTCTCACTGATTTTCTCATTGTGCTGGGATTAAACACAGTATTGTTTTCAGAAGAGAGTAAAACTACATAGCTTGGATTGATCAGAATACAGTACATTAAAAATTGGAAATCTTGATAATTCTAACCTCCATAAGTCGAATGCCACCCTATAATTTATCGAATGTTTTTTCAAGACCTCTCTGAATTCTCTTAAAAACGATGTATTAAAAACCTCCACAGCTTGAAGGCTTTCCTCCTCAAATCTCCATAAGTCGAATTTTCTGGAGGCCTTTTGGCAATTATTTTATCAACAGAGGAAAAATAAAGAGCAATTAAAATTTAACTTTATGCACATTGAAAGGTCAAAGAGATTTGGGTATAAAATGAACCCTTGCCTTCAACTTCAGCATCCTAGCTGCCAACTCATTCAAGATTTTAAGGCCCAGAATATCACCAATTACAATTTCCTGTATTTCTTCTCTCTTTACCTAATTGTTTTTTTTTTTTTTGCTGGTCCCTTGCTGCTATAAATGCTTCAGCAGCCTATCTGCGGATACGCAGGATTAACTTTCGCCTCAGAGTTGAATTTGAAATGGTGTGAAGTTGCTTGTATAGCTTGAACATCAACAGTGAATGACGAGGCGACGCGAGCAGAAAAAGTAAAACGAAAACCTCAGTATGAATTGTTCTTCCTTATCAGCAGTCGTGAATCGTTTCGTCACAGACTAAAAGTGAAATGCAGCGTCTCGTCTCCCGATCACACAACTTTGCCGACATATGATCCTGCTCTGTTCAAAGAGTTTATTCCTTTCCGTCGTCTTCCATCTTCCGACTTGGGCAAGGCATTGATCAGATGCCGATACTATGACATTTGAAATTTTTCATTTATTTCCTTTGAAAGTGCGACTTCCAATTTTCTTCCGATCGCCAGCACATCCAAAAATCCTGATACTACAGGAACTAACTAAAGTAACTATGTCCTACCGGTACATTAGAAACGAATTAGTCCCGTGACGTAACTCATAACTACGGCATTGGGCTCATCAGCAGTCAGAAGTCTCTTGATCGGTAATTAACTTTATCACCACTGCAGCATCACTAATAAATTTTTCTCACGTAAATAATAATCGTGAAAACAGTGATTATTCACGATTAAATGATGCTAACTTCTTCACACCAAGATAGCGGAAAGATTTAGAGAAAATTTATGATCGACCCCGGAACCGGAGAGGGTTCATCAATTAAGAAGTACCTGAGCTTACTTTTCAAAAAGTCATACAAATGTCGCCTGCAGCATAGCTCAACAATTAAGAAAATACAGAAACGGATCCCGATGACTTAACCCAACATTACCTAATGTCAGCAGTATTTTAAACCGATTTACCTCGTATACCGGGGTAACTGCATCACGCTACGAACACGAAATAGCATGTAGAATCACTGAATCGCGGTTACGAACGTACGATGAAGCGTGCCACACATGGAACTAAATAGGTTGAACAGCGGAATGAAATGCGAGATCCAATGAAGATGTGGGCAAAGTGGGTGAAACCAACAGGGATTCAGACAGGCGAGCGTCACTAATCAGCGCGACGAGTTGACTTGGAGTTACCTTCGTCAGGAAAGACAAAGATTCACTACCGACATAATACAGTAGTCATATCCCGGCGATGGCATCAAGGCATGGGCTCGTATCCACATTTTTTGTTTGTCTCAAACTAAAACCCCACTTCAGCAGATAACAGCACCCAATATTGAGAGTAATTGACTATGCAAACTTGACCATCATGGTGAATCACATGCGGTCGCTAGCGCGCGCCGTTGTCGAGTGAATCATGTACGTGGTACGTTAGTTTTGTAAAGTTTCAATTCGCGAAACTGTCTTGTTAGTTGCTATTCCGGTTAGCAACCTTCAAATTAAATGGATCACAGAATTTGATCCAGGTACCTCACTCTACTCAATGATCGTCGAGTAATTGAATTCGAATTCTTTCCCAGCTCCCCATCGTCCCCCGTTCACCCGTAACAGACCATCACGAAGAGCAGCACAGTATTGTCCCTTCATTCCTGTTCCCCACGCGAAGTCTGAATTTTCGGAACCTGAACATGGAATACGAAAGATTTTGCAATCCAGTTTTTCGCATTACATTCCTCATCTCCGGTTCTGCTCAACAGGCAAATTGCGAAGCATTATGGGCCCGGTTCAGTGAAGCAGCCGACGAAGCGTACGCTATAGCAAATCGTCGAGACTGGCATGTGGACTCGAATGACGACGGGGTCGTCGTGAAACGCGTTTACCTGCCCACTTACAAACGATCCGTCATTCTCGGCGAGGTGAGTCAATAAGATCACCTAGTTTCATGACGCACCGACAAGCAAAAGAATGGAAAAAACAGTTCTCACTTTATGCGAAAGAGCATGAACTGAATTCCACACACTTCACGCGTCACAAGGTTATCGACAATGAGGTGGAAACAAAATTGGTACACACAGTCTGCGTCAGTGAAATGTTACATCGATCATCGGTTCAATGGATGAGGAAATAATTTCGAATTTAATTTATACGATTTTTTTTTAATTGCAGACGATCTTGAACATAAGTCCTGAAGATGGGCTGTACCTGTACTGGGACGACGGGAAAGATATCCCGAACTGGAACCCAGAAATCAGCTACCTGGAGGATGTCGTGGTGAGGAAAACCTCTCATTAATCTTACAGGCTGAAAATCTTTTTTTCTAAGCACGGTAAAAATGGATCCATGATGTCATCAACTACTGTATTCCTCTTACCCAGAGTTATTCACTCAAAAAGCGATCATATTTTCTGTTGGAAAAACTTGGGGGAGTCAGTTTTAAAAATTGGTCACCGATACTTGGAAATTTTATCCTTCTGCTAATAAGCTGCGCTTGCCCCGTTTCGAAATTTTTTTTCACGCCTCATTTGCACGATCGATCATCTACCGCATCTTACAAAGCAAAACCAAACTTAGCGCGATAAGTGTGGTTTTTCTTTCCAGGTAACCTGTACGCGCCATATTTAACGGAACGCAAAAGTTACTAACCTTTGAAGTAACGAAGTGAAGCGAAAATAGCGTTATAAGGAAGCCATTATAAAGACACGGAAAATCCTTCAATAACGCGCATCGCTTAAATATAGAGGGGTTTGAGAATATTGTTTCTATCCTGTGGAGACCTTGAAAATAATTAACCGTCTACAATAATCCGATGTATAGAAATTCAACTTGTAAGACATAGAAACGGGGAGATGACCTTTGTAATCCAACCAGCAAATCGATAATATATCGAAACTAATCTAAGCGTATTCAAATTATATCAGATGATGGAAGTTATGTACTGTAATTAATTTTTAAAAATTACATCTTTGTCGGATTGAACCCAACTGTGCAGCTTCAACAAGGGAGAACGTCAACTTTTTTTTTATTTTCTTCGTATCATATTGTTTCGACAAATTTCGGACGTGAAGTGACACAGTACAGTATTTAATTCAAATGTTGATTTACTCAACCTCAACGCTTATGAAAACTTCATACCAAAGATACTCAATTGTTTACAGTGCAGTATGAAATCTTACTGATTTCTTTTCTGCCACTTTCAGGAAATAGCACCGGAGCTCAGAGTCAGTTATCAAGTTGGCTCTTCGAAGCTTGGCGGCTTGATAAAGCCACGCGACTTCCTAGTACTTACAGGATGGCTGGAACGCAACCGGAACTACTACGTGGTCTACACCAACATCACGAACGAGTACCGACCGAAGCCCATAGAATCGCACTACGTTCGGTGAGAAACACTTTCCTTGCTCACTAGCAGTGAAAACAACGCAGCATGAAGCATTCTGCACTCGAGTTCATTGGCCTTTCTATACAAGGCTCGGTTGGTTGCTCTCTTGAGACTTCGGATCTCTGCGGAGTTTTGGAATTAATTGCTATCGTAGCACATGGACAGCCAAGACACACGTGAAACAGAAAAAAAAATTCATTCGCGATTAAGTAGAGATTTTTGGAAGTGTTGTCTTGAACACGATCACGTACAGTACTGTAGTTCGCTTTCAAAAGAAACATACGATTAGCTCGAATAGTTCAAGATATAAGAAAAATCCATCTATTCTCGAGGTCGATCATTTATTCCATCAGATTTTCACTTCTGTGGTTGTATCGTACGATAACCACGGCCATTTGAACAAACATCGCCTCACGAAAAAAAGTCGACATTCGATCATTGACATTCATTTACTCAACGCAAAAATCGCTTCATTCAAAATGTCAGATATACAGTAATCCAGCGTTCAAAATACAATGAATCCATTCAAATTTTCACCGCCTTTTTTCCCCAGAGGACAGAATGGACCGAGTTTGATCGCTTTCGAGCGGGTGCCCACGGATCCGAACAAGACCCTGTTTCGCTACTTGCTCAACGTGGACATGAACCACGGTAGCTGGTTCATCATCCCACGCAGCGTTTACGAAAAGGCGACTTCGGCCGCCATCAGGGACTACTTGCAATACGTTCGCGACCGCACGAACCGCGTCCCACTCTTCAGCCCGCCGCGAAAGTCAATCCGTCCACACCACACAAACTTGTTTTAGCAATGACGGGGACAAACCGAGTTACTCCGAGGAGTTCGGGATTCTCGAGGCACTGTGATTTTCTTTTCCGCGCTCCCACAATTGAACTGAAAGCCAAAAAAAAAGATGGAGTGAAGGGAAAAGAGCGCGCGTATTACATAAATGCAACCGGGGCGCACTTCAGTTTTCTCTCGGCAGAAACTATCCCTGTGAATCTCGGTTGATAACTTTCGGAACTGTTGGAAGCACTTTTTAAGCAATGTACTCCTTCGTTTATAAACTCACTTTAGTCGCGTTCCGGATATCTGGAAGGAAATAACTCCCAAGACCAGCAGTGGTTCCCAACCTGTGCGTCCAAGAGATCGGCCTTTTCACCGGTCAGCGCTAGCTATATAAAAACAGTAAAAAGAAAAGCTGCATGAAGTAAATTGAAATGAAGATCCTGTAACAGTAAACACAACTGATTAAACGTAGTATAATAATTTTAAAGATGTCCTATGCAAGGACTTTCGCAACTCAAGAAAATCACAATGTTTCTATATTTCGCACCATGAATGTTAGTGTTCAGACAGTTAAACGCAGCAAAATACATATTCATGCTGGTAGGTATCAGTGGAAGTTAAAATTAATCTTACTTGATTAAAGATTAACAATTACCTCTTTACAATCCCGTCTTCTGAGTTCCTCCTGTGTTCACGTAAGTCCTGGGGAGAGTAACTGTAATCAGATCTGCTGTCATAGCTCCTATGGGTGTCTTACATAAATAAATTCATGTAATGTATAGGAAATAGTATACAGCACATGAATCCCAGTAGGAAACTTTGGTTTACTGGATAACCACTGCTTCAAACAATATTTCCAAAAGTGACCATTGGCATGAAGAAAGCATACAAAAATTCACATAATTCCAATAACCGGATAGATAAACAAATTTGGCATTACCGATTTTTAAATTCCAGACATGGATCACTTAGAGAATCTCGTACCAGAAATTTGAGAAAATTTATGAAAAGTGACGTAATGTAATAAACCATCAAACACATCGCGGGGGAGAAAGAATACGCGAGTAATTCAATCCACATTTCTTGCTCTCTTACTCCCTGAAATTTTTAAAGGCATTAAGAATCGATCCTTCTCTCTTACCAGCAGCAGCTGCTTCACTGCCATTCGGCACTAAGGATGAAGCGCATGATCTTGGAACCGAAAGTCATTTAAGTGCTCTATATGCGGACGCATCACGATAATTGGCGCGATTATTAACGGCAGATTCACCTCCATCCATCCCTTCGCCCTTCTCTTGGGAGTAGGAGTATATAGCGCTGCTTCGCGCGATGCGATCCGACCGGTGCTCAGTTATATTTTTCGAGGGTCTTCTTTAAATTAATATGAGCGGGATTCAAAGCCTATAGACAAAATGTTCGAACAAGTCGGAGTTGAGGCAGTTGGATCACTGAAAATCTCCGCCGTTTTTATTTTACAATGTCGGGTGTCAAAGAAAAATCTACCTTCAAGGAATGCGAAGGCCTGGCTCCCCTTCCCGGAGTGAAGATGAACGCGTATTTAGGCACTAATGCTCAATAATAGCTTCCATAAGTTAAATGCTTCTGAACAAATCAAAATAAGGTCAGAGGAAAAAGCGTAGTGATGTTTACAATTTGTAGATGGCATTTTCCTAGCTTTGAAAAATGCCTGAAGTTGTCATGGCAGTTCCTCAGCTTTCTGGAATACCAAAGGGATCATCAGAATCGGTGGACTCTCTCTACCTCTCTATAGTGATTCCCTCAGTGATCTAAACGTAGAATATATATTTTTTCTAATAATGTAGATCCGGCGCTTCAACAAAATAAGTTTCCTCATAACGATTTACTTTTGTTAGCTACTTCAGTGCGAGTTCACTTTAATTTTCTCAGGGTAATCGGCGTTTCGCTGTTTCCATGAACTTCAATTAGACGTCATGCCTATGAGAAAAAATCTATCCTTTTTGGATATGTGTATCTCCCTTCTAGGTGTCGCTCTTGAAAGGTGAGCCAGCAATTCTTCTTCCGACAGCCGATTGATGGAAGAGTGACAAATGAGCTTCAAGCGTTTTAATGATGGATACAGATGATTTTAATCTTTCACCAGTGATATCTGTTTGGATGTTTCTAAGAAAAAAACCTGCGAATGATAGTGATGAATACGAGTTGGATATTTAAAACGTGTTTGAAGATGTGTGGCTTTCAATCAATTCGATGTTCTCCTCAATCCATGAACATGGCGCCCAAAAGCCGGAGAAATGGGGGACGCAGGTGTTGAATACCAGCAATAATGATTTAAATCTAGATCATCACAAGTGACTCGACGGAAGCGCGGTTAATCCTTTTTTTTCAACACATTACTTATTGCTATGTGCTCAGAAGTTCAACACTGTCAATGGGAACGCTGGCAAAATTAACTCGGCAAGTAAGAGCAAAAATTGTGGTTGCCTCTTCACAGAGAACAGAGATCATGAGAAGACAAACAGATGCCTAGTTTCTTTCTCTTTCTTGGATCATCTGCCATTGGCAGAATCTGGAGAAGCTTCCACTCACACCAGTTCATCTTGGGGCAGATTGAGGAAATTCGTAATAGTAACTTTCAGGTCGCAGAACGAAGTTTGAGGGGGGGGAAATTGCACATCGAATTTAGAAGTCTCATGTTAGAACTTCAGGTATGTTCAACCCTCAATTTGGTGCCAGCTTAAAACTGTGCCACAAAATGTATTGTCTAAGACTACTTTACTATGAAAAATAAGCCCAAGTCAATGAAATTTGAGTCCTTCTCCCAGAGATGAACTTGGATTACAGTACTTACGAGCAAGAAAAAAGAACATTGTTGACGTTAAAAAAAATGTTTATGTATAGCCTTTGGCAAACCGTATCCAGAATGACAGAATCCCTGCTTCAGTCTGTCTACAATGTATCTGCGAATAATTCTTTGCAAAAGCGGACTTCTTCGGGAATCTCAACAATGAAGGCTATTTTCTTGTAACTCCCCAGCGGTCACCCCATACTAATTCGCGTCGCATTAGTAATTGTCCCAAGACACTCGATCAAAGCGAATTTATATACAGTACGAATATTCAGGAGAATTGGAGAAACATCTGTACTTTTCAGTCCACAGGGAAACAGAAACCCTCGTCGAATATTGCACTTTGATTTTCAACAATTCACACGTGTTTCAGTTTCAACGCGAATAGTTAGTCAACTTCTTCGATGGTAGGTCCACCTGTACCATCACTTCGATTACTGCGAACTGAGGAATGTGACGGCGGGGCTCCACCGGTTTGTTGATACAATCTTGTCACAATTGGATTACACAAGCGTTCCATGTCACGCTGCCGATGCTCAATTTCTTCCCGCTCGGCGAGCTGATGGGCATCATTACATGTCACTCATGTACTTCACTACATTATTCCGATCAGTGCCATCATTGAATACTCGACTGAACATAAAAACGAGTCCATGTTTCACAGCTTGGGTCGAAATTTGAATGTGCTTTCACAAATATACTGTAGTGGTTGAAAAAAAGTTACCAGGAAAAAATCTGAATTGAGGTTCACACGGTGAATTTAAATTTTTAGGGAAAAACTTATCCAGAAAGAGAAGAAACGTCCTTCAACCCATTATCTCTAAGGAAAGTTAGATTACTGTTGAGTTTAATGTAAACTCATCGCTGGGTTATCTTGATGGGCTTTTTAATACATGCTTTTTCCTTCTAGTTCTTTATCATCCTATTCATCCAGTACTGTATATTCTGAATCTGGGATTCTTATTTTCATCGAAAATAAATTTCAAAGATTACACCCGAAAACTAAGTGGCCTTAACTGGAACAATTTGAAAATTTTCCGTTCCGTCAATTCATGGAATTTTTCAGATAAATATACAGTACTACAGGAGACAAAATTTTTTCGAAAAAAAAAGCCCAGAAAAAGTAATATAGCCTACTATATATACTTGGGAGGAAAAGAAAAAAACAACTCACCTGGTTCGTGTCAAGCCATTGGAGAGTTTCGTCGCACTTCGCAAGCACAGTTTTTCTGTCTTCGCTGGAGATTTTAGGTTTCAAATTCTCGTCGTCCATCGTTGACCTCATGGAGAATATGTAAGACTCCAGAGAGTTCTTGGCCAACACACGGTCACGCTGCTTTTCATCGTCAACTCGGTAATTTTCCGCATCTCGGACCTACGCGAAATCGACACTCATAAAAATTTCTAAGTCAAAAATACTTCAAACGTCATACTTCTAATGAAAAGCAAACTTAGTACAGTAATAGAACATTAGAAAGCAGCAGGACCTCTCTTGTCAATAACTGCCTCGAATATTCCAAATAGGGGGTCACCCGTTTAAAAAAAAATTGAGCACAAATTCAAATCATTTTCCAGAGTTTTTGAGCAAAAGTACAAATTTCAATACCATTCGGTCGATTTCATCTTTCGAAAGGCGGCCTTTATCGTTGGTGATGGTGATTTTGTTTCCACGTCCCGTTGATTTTTCAACAGCGTGAACATTAAGAATTCCATTCGCATCGATGTCAAACGTTACCTCGATTTGCGGCACCCCTCGAGGAACAGGCGGAATTCCAGCAAGTTCAAATTTCCCAAGGAGGTTCTGAAATATAAAATGAAAACAAATTCCGGTTTATTCGTATTTCATCATTTTACTTGTCCATAAATATTTCAAGGTTCAAGTTCTTTAAAATATGCAAAAAATAGCCTGGATTTCAGCAACTATTGTTTCATTAAATTAGGTTAGGATTTAGACGGTTACATAAGTTCGAGATGGATAAGACCTCGCGCAATCCTGACTCGCCATTATGTTAAGCGAAATAACTTAGAAAATGACAACGAAGCGAGACTTACGTTATCCCTTGTCATGGCGCGTTCTCCTTCGAACACTTGGACTAAAACTCCAGGCTGATTATCAGCATACGTCGTAAAAGTCTGCTGCTGCTTCGTTGGAATCGTGGTATTGCGTTTTATCAAACTCGTCATGACCCCACCAGCAGTTTCAATGCCCAGCGAAAGCGGTGTAACGTCCAACAGTAGGAGATCTTGCACGGTATTCGACTTGTCGCCGTGCAAAATGGCAGCCTGAAGAATCGAAGCTTGTCACCATCGGCCAAACCATCAAAGGAAAGACACAACAACCATACGTCCCCTTCACTTAATTTAGCAAGAAAAAATAGGGCAGACTGATGCATTAAAAATTTTAAATCCAGTATCAGTACAGTAGTTAGTTCGTTTGGTTGACATGACTGAAGGTTGAAGTTACATCTGGCGGACGTGAAATTAAAATTAGGGAAGGCGGGTGTGAGTGACTGAGACAACAGATAGGAAAACGGGTGAGTCACCTGTACAGCAGCTCCATACGCCACAGCTTCGTCCGGATTAATCGACTTATTCAGCTCCTTTCCATTGAAAAAATCCTGCAATAGCCTCTGGATCTTCGGAATCCGAGTCGAGCCTCCAACCAAGACAACTTCTTGGATAGCAGCTTTATCCATCTTCGCATCCCTCAACGCCTGAAAATAGAATATTTCGATCGACCTCACTCAGTGCCTAAAAATACGCCATTTAGTAGTTACACTGCTGTCTTTGCTTATTAAAATATACCGGAAGTGGCATACACTTTCAAACGAAAATACATATCGGTCAAGTTTTACTCAAAACCATTTAATGTCACTGAAAAAATCAGAAGGATCAACCGAATTTCCTTCCTAAGGAAATTCACATTGCCAGCGATATTACGGGTCATCCCGTGCGTCAGTTCGAGAAAGATATCGAAGTCGACGAGAAAGTTAGGATATACCCGCTTTCACTCAAGTACCATGCGCACCGTTTCTCTGAAAATGGAGCGAAAAAAAATTGGGGTGGTCAACATGTGTTGTAAAAATTCAAACTCTGCTGGGTCTTATTGTCGAAATATTGAAATTTTTCGGTCACTAAAAATGTGGTGCGCATCTTACTCAAGGATGGGATTGCATAAAAATTCTTTCATCGAAATTGGAAAAATCTGGGCGCATCAAGTACTGTACCGAGAACATGCAGGGTCGCCGTATTTGAGTTAATACGGTATCTACTTTGCGTTTGAAATACTTTACGGTAATTTTCATTTAGCAACCGCTCCATTTCGAACACTTCGAGGAAAAAGCATTCGACAGGTTGCTGAGATACGAAACCTTAGCACGCTCTAAATTACCCGTTGAACAAGCCTTACGAACGCAAATCCAAGGCACGACTGAGTGAAGACGCACATCATAGTCGCTATTACCGTATATACGTAATACAATGCAGTAAATGCAGAAATCAACAGCACTTGCTTTTTCGACAGGATCAAGGGTTGATCGGAACAAATCGGCACACAGCTCTTCAAATCTCGCTCGAGTTAGTGAAGTATAAAAGTCGACCCCGTCATACAGTGAATCAATTTCCACTGAGGCTTGCGTTGAAGAGGATAATGTTCGTTTTGCTCGTTCGCAGGCAGTTCTCAGTCTTCTGACGGCTCGCTTGTTATCTTCCATATTCTTCTTGTATTTCTTCTTGAACTCCTGCCCCAGGAAATAAAATCTTGACATGATTCTTCATTGCAAACAAAACACCGAATAAATACGCCTGCATACACTGAACCTCGGACACAGATCTTACAAATGAAAAGTTTCAGATAGAATAATTCACCTGCATGAGATGATTGACTAGGCGACTGTCAAAATCTTCCCCGCCAAGATGCGTGTCCCCCGCGGTAGATTTGACCTCAAAAATTCCCTCCTCGATCGACAGAATCGAAACGTCGAATGTTCCTCCACCCAAGTCGAAGATCAGAACATTACGCTCTCCGCCGACCTTAGAAAAGAACAATTGAAAACTCCATACCAAGACGGCTAAAACCAAATACGAGTTCTAGTGGACTCCCTCTACTGTACACCGAAATTCAGAGGACCACAAAAAAAATTTGCAGTTGAGAACCTTTACAAGATGGGTCAAGACTCTTACAAGACAAAAAAAATTTCCTTGTTCAGCAAAAATCCCTTTAGAGTCTACCCGAGCAATTCGTGGAAGACGCAAATGATTTATGCCTTTCATGAAGGTGGTCTTGGCATTACGCGCACGTGAACATCAACTATGCTTCATTTAGCAGATTTTTAACGAGCAAATATACTTCGAAAAAAAAAGAAATTCAGGACTGGGTTCCAAAGGCAAAATCTCGATACCTTTTTGTCCAACCCATACGCAATAGCAGCAGCTGTCGGCTCGTTGATAATTCTGAGGACATTAAGGCCAGAAATGGTGCCAGCATCCTTCGTTGCTTGACGTTGGGAGTCATTGAAATATGCAGGAACTGTAACAACCGCATCTGTCACAGATTTCCCCAGAAAGGCTTCGGCAGTTTCCTTCATTTTCAGAAGCACCATCGAGCTGATTTCCTCGGGGAAAAATGTTTTCGTCTCAGTTTTGTACGTAACCTACCGGGCCAGAGCATAGCATCAGTGAGTTGAATTCTTTTCCAGAATGCTGACTGACTAACCTTTATCTTTGGCTTCCCCGCGTCATTGATCACAGTGAAGGGCCAATGTTTCATATCACTTTGCACTGTGGCATCATCGAACTTCCTCCCAATAAGTCTTTTGGCGTCTTAGGAAGAGTACAGTAACACGGAAACCCTAATCGAGTTTCCAAAAACTCTCAATACTCAATTACTCACCAAATACGGTATTGCTTGGATTCATGGCAACTTGGTTTTTCGCGGCATCGCCAATTAACCTCTCGGTATCCGTAAACGCAACGTAAGAAGGCGTAGTGCGATTTCCTTGATCATTGGCAATGATTTCCACCTTGCCATGTTGGAAAACTCCAACGCAAGAATATGTCGTTCCTAGATCAATGCCAATTGCAGGCGCCCTAGACATTATTACCGAGAATTTCGGAAGTTTAACCGAGGAACATTAAACGGAATCACAGCAAGAAAGCGTTCACTTCCCGCCAGATAACAAGGGGAATGCTGCGCTTGTTTTCGAAAGGTTCTCCCCTACAACGCCAGAATTCCAGCGACTCGTCTTGCCCATTATTTCGTAACCCCTTGAAGCAACAGAATATGTAAGCACCTTCAATGATCATCAATTCAGTGGGTTCTTTACGATGGAAGCAAGACGGTTGACGTTCACTTGCGTTAAATCCTCAGTTCGTCTACAGGAGAATCACCACAGTTCCTCTCCCATGTATGGAAATACTATTTGCGATCAGCACATTATTGACGGAAGTACCACGCGCCCTCCAGGTATACAAGCACCTTAAATATTCATCCAAGAATTTGGAAAAAAATTATCCGTACACAACATGCGGACTTATGAAATCAGTTACCGAATTCCTATTGAAAAAGATTCACTTGAACAGTTGCGCCCAACCATGGCACAATTCTCATCCTTCGCGAAAAATTCTTCGGAAAGAAGATGCGCATGGTATTCAGAGGAGTATTCTTTTCTAGCAGTGAGAGGATTTCGCAGGAAAAATCCTCTGTACATCCAGAAATCACAAGCAGACTAATTCGCGATCTAACATCCATCTAATTGATGGAATATTGCGACCAATTCAAAGAAGAAAAAGAGCTCAACGCGGCCGATTTGACTGACCAAAAGTGGTGCAAGCGCAGCTACAACATTAGTATTCGGAACTCCAGCTCTCATCATTTCCCTGGAATACACCTTTGGAATGGCATAAGGAAGTCCACCAGCCGAAGACGGCGATGAAATTTCATACAAGATCCGGTTTACTGTACCTATCAGATCACGAACTAGCTTCGCCCTTCGGGCATTTGTCAACATTCCAGTTCACGCTTTAGAAAATCAACCCTCTCAAGGGCAAACCAAGAGTAGTGGCCTACTGGAACCTTTCGGCTCTTGTCAAAGCAAATGATTCAAGTGAGCCAACGTTCAAATGCTTCAGAACACTTTTACTTGACCGTATTACAGTACTGAATGAAAGTTGATTCTGCACTCGAATTGAAGAAAAATAAGAAAAACTTCGAATTTACACGGATAACATCGAACACCCGACAACGGACCATCTGCTAAGCCACTAATCCACTTCCTCAATAGTTGGTCCGGCACCACCAGTGGACGCTCCACCGGGTGCAGCTCCCCCGGCGCCCGGGAAACCTCCCGGCATTCCACCAGGAAATCCTCCAGGCATTCCACCGGGCATTCCTCCGGCACCGCCAGCCTGTTGATACATCTTGGTCATGATCGGATTACACACCTGCTCCACTTCCTTCTGCTTATGTTCGAACTCCTCTTTGTCCGCAAGCTGAAAAAAACAAGCATGTTCAGTACTCACACTAAATTCGCAATAATTCCACAGAAAGTTACCTGGTTCGCGTCGAGCCATTTCAAGGTTTCGTCACACTTCTCCTTGATCTTTTTCTTATCATCCTCCGAAATCTTCTCCTTCAACTTATCGTCCTCCATCGTGGACTTCATCGAGAAAATGTACGACTCCAAGCCATTCTTCGCGGAAACTCGGTCTCGCTGCTTCTCATCCTCCGCGCGATACGATTCAGCATCGTTCACCTGTGCAAGCAACATGAATTTATGAACATCTCGGCTATCAATGCAAACATTCCAATTCAAGGAAGACCAAATGTAGCCCATATGGTTTATCCCACTCTTCACTGACCAACTTGGATCTAGAGCAAGTTCAGGAATATAAGGACAAAACCGCCAGCTGAAAGCAGCGGAAATTAATTTAGGACATGACGGATTACTTTGTAGCTGTTAACACTACAAAAGCTAAGTCCGTTAAAAACGCCAGAGGGTAATTTCTGGGTTCAAGTCCACTTGACCAATTCTCTACATGAATTGAAAACTTACCATCCGATCAATCTCTTCCTTCGATAGGCGACCTTTGTCATTAGTGATCGTGATCTTGTTTTCACGACCAGTGGACTTGTCGCATGCAGAAACGTTCAAGATGCCATTGGCGTCAATATCGAAGGTAACTTCAATTTGAGGAACCCCTCGTGGCGCTGGCGGGATGCTGGTGAGCTCGAATTTACCCAACAAATTCTGCAAATAAAAAACCGATCAGCAAGTGGAAATTCGTGCCATGACATAAAATCATTACGTTGTCTTTCGTCATTGCTCGCTCTCCCTCGAAAACTTGGATCAAGACTCCCGGTTGATTATCTGAATAGGTAGTGAAAGTCTGTTGCTGTTTTGTAGGGATAGTTGTATTCCTCTTGATCAAGCTGGTCATTACACCACCAGCTGTTTCAATTCCAAGCGAAAGAGGCGTGACATCCAGCAGCAATAGATCTTGAACTTCTTCCGACTTATCACCATGCAAAATAGCAGCCTGCAGCAAAAAAGGAGTATACAGTATACAGCAATGTACGGTCAACCTTGGGATAACACAAAGAAAACAACTAGTAGAAAAGAAATCTCAAAATACCTGAACCGCAGCTCCATACGCAACAGCTTCGTCAGGATTAATGGACTTATTCAATTCTTTCCCATTGAAGAAATCTTGCAGCAGTTTCTGGATCTTTGGAATACGAGTAGAACCACCAACCAATACAATTTCGTTTATCGTGCCCTTGTCCATTTTCGCATCACGCAGCGACTACAAAATTCAAACAGCATTATTAATATTGTTCTGCACATTTTTTCCGATCAAAACACTGTACCTTCTCGACGGGATCCAAGGTTGAACGGAAGAGATCGGCACAAAGTTCCTCAAATCTGGCTCTAGTTACGGATGTGTAGAAATCAATTCCCTCATACAGGGAATCAATTTCGATGGACGCTTGTGTGGACGATGACAGAGTTCTCTTTGCTCTCTCGCAAGCAGTCCGCAGGCGTCTCACAGCTCTCTTATTGTCCCCCATGTCCTTCTTGTACTTCCTTTTGAATTCCTACGCAAATCGATTCAACATCAGTAAGGATATCCTCCAATACCCAGGTGCACAACACCACTTTTGTCAAATCCAATTGAGGTGCCTGGATCACTTACTTGAAGGAGGTGGTTCACCATGCGGTTGTCGAAGTCTTCACCCCCAAGATGAGTATCTCCGGCTGTAGATTTCACTTCGAAAATACCTTCTTCAATGGACAGGATTGACACATCGAATGTTCCACCGCCCAAGTCAAAGATGAGAACGTTCCTTTCACCACCGACCTACAAATAAGTGGTGATCAACGTTCTGCCAGTTTTCAGTGATAAGAGAAAATGAACGCTAACCTTCTTGTCCAAACCATAGGCAATGGCTGCAGCAGTCGGCTCGTTGATGATTCGGAGAACGTTCAGGCCAGAAATGGTGCCTGCATCCTTAGTTGCTTGACGTTGGGAATCATTGAAATATGCAGGAACAGTCACAACAGAATCAGTAACAGTTTTTCCCAGGTACGCTTCAGCAGTTTCCTTCATTTTCAGAAGAACCATGGAACTGATCTCCTCTGGCGAAAAGGTTTTTGTTTCCCCTTTGTAATCGACCTGAAATGCAAATAACAGTTCTCACACAACTGCATGATCAACGAGTTCATTGCGCAGTCACCTGAATTTTTGGCTTTCCCCCATCACTGACGACGTTGAATGGCCAATGCTTCATATCACTCTGCACAGTTGCGTCCTCAAACTTCCGTCCGATTAACCGCTTTGCATCTGCCACATTCCCAACTTATTAGCATACATTTCACGTCAGAAAACAGAATTCGCGGTGGTATCTCACCAAAGACGGTGTTATTGGGATTCATAGCAACTTGGTTCTTTGCAGCATCACCGATTAGCCGTTCGGTATCAGTGAAAGCCACATACGAGGGAGTTGTCCGATTTCCCTGATCGTTTGCAATGATTTCAACCTTTCCATGTTGGAATACACCCACGCAGGAATAGGTGGTTCCGAGATCTATACCGATCGCAGGAGCTTTCATTTTGTTTCAATTTGAATGCTCAGTAATAACCAGGGGCGTTAATCACAGCTGAAGAGTTTGTTCTGCAAACACAAGTGCACCTTGAACTTTTCACTTCAACTGCGAACAGAATCGCAATGGCTCAAAAAAATTTCCTGCAATACCATCCGCAAATGCAATCAAAACACCATACAGTGCAAAGACATTCACAATTGCATTAAAGAAAAAAAGAGATATTACTTATAATTGATATGATAATTTCATCCATGTAAATGTAATCACATTACAAAATAATTCATGTGAAAAGTAAAATGAAGTAATAATAAATCATGTAAAAATGTGAACAAAATCAAAATTCCTGTGCTGAATTTTGTATAAATTCAATTCAATCAGAAAAAAACAGCCATGACAGTTTTGAATATGTGTTCTGTCAATAGGGATACACTACAAGGAATGCAGAGCAACACCTATGTGATAGCTTTGAAGTGCTACAGGAAGTGAGCCTATCACCGTGCCTTGCTGTGCGCTGCACAGCAAAAGGTAGGGGGCAGTATCGAAGTGTAGCTGTCAATGGTTTTGGGATTAACTAACTCATGTATCAACTCTTGCTAAATATATTTTCTTTAATGATCTACATACTTGAACTTATATTTTGAATTTCTTCAAGCTTGCTCCAACTCGGAATGAGGGTTCTGTAAGCACCAGAAAATCCCAATACATTTAAAAAAAAATCTGAGCTATCCCACTTGAAGGGAGCCAGACTACTATCTCCATCTTCAGATGACAGTTGGTGCTGTTTTGCACATGCACTGGCAACATCCATGGGTTGTTCCAAAAAATGAGTCTGGGTACACTCAAATTATACTTAAATTGATTAATTGATCTTAACTGATTGATTTTCAACTTGGGGTTTGCAAATCCAAAAGCAACCAGAATCAGTAATAGTCCTTGATTTTAATGCTCTTGTGTCAATTTTTTTCAAATTTTAAAATCTTTCACTGTACAACATCAGGGCTGTAATGTTGCACAGTATTTTATTGTGTAACATCACAGCCCTTATGTCACAGCTATTTCCACTGGGCAGCATTAGGGCAAGTATTTCAGTGTACAATGTTACAGCCCCAACACTGCACAGTGTATACAGTATTACTGTGTATTACTGTGAGCTATCCTAGTTGGGGGGACCCAGACTACTAGCTCCATCTACAATAAACAGTGCATACTCCCTTTCACGCCCTTGTACACTCCAATTCTCCAACAGCTTTGCTGTGCTGCCGGTGAGGTACCCTATCGTCAGCCTTACCACCAGTCCGATTTTATTCTCTATGCAGGTACAAATCCAACTGCGCATTTGAATTAAGATGTTAATTGACACTGGCACTGTTAATTCTGATTCTGCTGAGACTGAATTTGGGAGGCAGTTAGGTAAAGTTAGGTTAGGTCAGGATATGTTAGTTGAAAATATTTCAACTATGGATTTTATATATGTTCATTACAAATTATTTTAATTAACATTAATACATATTTTAACTAACATAACCTGACCTAACCTAACTTTACCTAACCGCCCCCCAAATTCAGTCTCAGCAGAACCAATGAAACAGTGCAAGTGTCAATTCACATTGAAATTCACTTAGAGTCAGTAATGAATTTGAATGGAGAATAAAATGGACTGATGGTAAGGCTGACGATAGTGTACCACAGGATCAACAGAACAGGGTTGTTGAACGATTGGAGTGTGTCCACGAGGAAGGTTCAGTGTGCCGTTCTTAGCGACATCTATAAAGACGTAGTTTTGTGCTTGGGTCCCCCCAACTAGGATAGCTCCGGCGTTTGTATTACGTGACTTAAGTGATCTGGAGTTCACCACACTGAAAAGAAATTGTATCAATGTCTTTTGCTCCTAGGTTTATTGTTGCATCTTTAAACATTTGGTCTGGTTCCGCAGGATTCATGGGTATCGGAATCTACGAGGAGCAGTGTATCTTATGAATATTAGGTCAGGAGAACTGGAATTTTCCTCCCAAGTACCGAATTTCGCAGATTCCTATCAGTAAGTCAATGTTACTTCTATGTTGTACTGTATTTCACACTTAAATTTCAATGATGAGACTTTCATTAAGACGTGATTATTTCATGATCGGGAGTTTACCACACTGAAAAGAAAACTGCAGCAATGCTTGTTGCTCCTAGGGTTATTGTTCATGCATCCTTAAACATTTGNCTGAAAAGAAAACTGCAGCAATGCTTGTTGCTCCTAGGGTTATTGTTCATGCATCCTTAAACATTTGGTCTTGTTACACAGGATTCATGGGTATCGGAATCTACGAGGAGCAGTGTATGATATGAATATTTGGTCGGGAGAACTGGAATTCTCCACGAAGTACCGAATTTCGCCGATTTCTATCAGTAAGTCAATGTTACTTATATGTTGCATTTCACACTTGAATTCCAATGATGAGACTGTTTCATTTAGACGTGATTATTTCATGATCGGGAGTTTACCACACTGAAAAGAAAACTGCAGCAATGCCTGTTGCTCCTAGGTTTATTGTTGCATCTTTAAACATTTGGTCTTGTTCCGCAGGATTCATGGGTATCGGAATCTACGAGGAGCAGTGTATGATATGAATATTTGGTCGGGAGAATTAACTGGAATTTTCCCCCAAGTACCGAATTTCGCAGATTCCTATCAGTAAGTCAATGTTTCTTCTATGTTGTACTGTATTTCACACTTGAATTTCAATGATGAGACTTTCATTAAGACGTGATTATTTCATGATCGGGAGTTTACCACACTGAAAAGAAAACTGCATCAATGCTTGTTGCTCCTACTTTTATTGTTCATGCATCCTCAAACATTTGGTCTTGTTCCACAGGATTCATGGGTATCGGAATCTACGAGGCGCAGTGTATGATATGAATATTTGGTCGGGAGAACTGGAATTTTCCACGAAGTACCGAATTTCGCAGATTCCTATCAGTAAGTCAATGTTTCTTCTATGTTGTACTGTATTTCACACTTGAATTTCAATGATGAGACTGTTTCATTAAGACGTGATTATTTCATGATCGGGAGTTTACCACACTGAAAAGAAAACTGCAGCAATGCTTGTTGCTCCTAGGTTTATTGTTCATGCATCTTTAAACATTTGTTCTTGTTCCGCAGGATTCATGGGTATCGGAATCTACGAGGAGCTGTGTGTGTTATGAATATTAGGTCAGGAGACCTGGAATTTTCCCGGAAGTACTGAATTTCGCCGATTCCTATCAGTAAGTGAATGTTACTTCTATGTTGTATTTCACACTTGAATTTCAATGATGAGACTTTCATTAAGACGTGATTATTTCATGATCGGGAGTTTACCACACTGAAAAGAAAACTGCAGCAATGCTTGTTGCTCCTAGGGTTATTGTTCATGCATCCTTAAACATTTGTAATTTCAATGATGAGACTTTCATTAAGACGTGATTATTTCATGATCGGGAGTTTACCACACTGAAAAGAAAACTGCAGCAATGCTTGTTGCTCCTAGGGTTATTGTTCATGCATCCTTAAACATTTGGTCTTGTTACACAGGATTCATGGGTATCGGAATCTACGAGGAGCAGTGTATGATATGAATATTTGGTCGGGAGAACTGGAATTTTCCACGAAGTACCGAATTTCGCCGATTCCTATCAGTAAGTCAATGTTTCTTCTATGTTGTACTGTATTTCACACTTGAATTTCAATGATGAGACTGTTTCATTAAGACGTGATTATTTCATGATCGGGAGTTTACCACACTGAGGAAATAAATTACCACGTGTTGTCTTGGTATGTTGTGAGTGTATGTTCTTCACGGGAATTGTCTCCTCTTGCAGATTTTGAGGTTACCTAAGTTTCTAGCGAATAGCGAGGATATGGATTCTCGGTCCTGAAAAGTAACGTCTCCTGAAGTGCCGTGCGTCCGTACTCGTCAGTCGTCACCGTTCTAAGGTAAATTATGAAGTCGCCTATATCCTGTGAATTTTGATGATACGTTTTCATTCACTTGATCATGAAATGAATTCAAGTTTACCAGACTCAGGTGAAGTGTATTCAAGTGATCTATTATGCCCTAGGTTCTCCGGAGTGCAATTATTTGATGATGCGATGTTCTACGGTTTCCCCAAGTTGAATGCATCAACAAGAAGCTCGAAGTATGATGGGAAGTGAGCAGTTGGCTGTGCCAAGTATAGTTCATTTGGCTGAAGGCGAAATACGGACAAGATTTGAGATTTGAAGGGATGGGAAGCTGTGACAGCGATTCATGACTTCCACAAGGAATTCTGTGTTATGAATGCGAGAAATGAAACTTATTTTGACCGGAGTGTTTTTCTCAAGTATGCTGAAATGAGGGAGGTTAATAGAAATTTTTTACTTTTCGGACACATTTCATGAAACTTGTATAGAAGTATAGTGTAGTATAAGGAAGCGACAATTAAGACGCTGCAAACTTAGAAGATATCTCATCACACCCAGTTTTAGGCTCGGTTAGATGTATTTCCGATGAAGCAGACGTCAGGTCGGAGCATTTCGTCTGATAGCCTTGTTGAGTTTTCAGAAATTCCCCGTTGCATCATTGATGATTACGGAGCATGTGAATCATATTTTACCGTACTTTTTAAGTACGTATGTTCATTCGATAAGCAATGTTCGAGTGTTCATTTTGGGAACCGAGTACTTGATATATCTATGTGAATGTAATTAGAAATTCCTTTCGAACTATACCCATGTGGAAGACATGAAGAAAATTCATTTCTGGTTCATTTATTTCGGAATCTGATCGAACTTCATTTCCGCGTGACACGAACACTTCTGTCCCTATGTGTATCCTTGTTTCTTTGCCCAATCGCAAGGTTGCAGTTGAAGTACAGTCAAACCCTGTTAAACTGCCCCCTGGTAAACCTCCAGCCAAATTTTTACCCCAAACAAATCTGCCCAATGCTAACATGATGGGGAAACCTCAACAGGCTGCCAACAACTTTCTGGCCACAAATGTGCACCTGCCCTTGTTTTTTTACCCCTTCAAACTGCCAATGTTTCAATTTCCTGACCAAGGCTTTCCTCTTACTTTTTCTTCAACTCCTTTCAATCTGTTCTTTTTTGAAACAAGCTACATTTTTCCTTCTTCCAAACATACTCTTCAGAGTTTCAATTTTTCTCCATGTATCCTTGAATATTATGGCCAGCAAGCACTCTCAGGAGCTCTTTTGACTCTCCATAAATGATGTGCAGCTTTTTTTTTATCTATATGTACTGTATTCAGATTGGCTGCAAAACATAATTATCTTCACACTTCCAGCAGCAAGAGATTCATTCAAAATTTAGAAAACTCCTGAAAGTTAGGCAGGGAATGTATTATTGAATGTTTTCAGGCATTTGTGGCTTCTTTGACAAATTCATGGATTCTTTGTATAATATTTTTAAAATTTCTATAGATATGCTTTTACTAAAATCAAACCCTGCTGATGTTTAAAATGTATCACCATGAAGTTGTTAACATGCTTCAAACATAAAAATTTTCATAGATGTGCTGGGTAATTTTTTGAAATATTTTTAGTTTATAAAAATAATTAACCATTATATATTCAACAAATATTGAATGAATAATCTCTATTTTAGATCTTCATCAGCATACCAATTGGCAAGCCATTTTAAACCATCCTATTATCGTTTGATGATCATCTGGCAGAGACACTGCTGGAAGTTGCAAACACTTTAATTGGCATCTTCAGAAGTGTAAAGGATAAGAAGCAAGGAATTTGAAGCAGCCCCTCTCTTTCTTTTTTCATTTTAAAAATAATTTTCTATGAGTTGAAATTCTTGTCATGGAATACATATATGAAATTCAATCTTTCCAAGCATCCATCAGGAACAAGAAAAAATCCCTCTGTTAGAATGTAAAAAAAAAGCTTACCTCTCATTTTCTGTGAGCCAATGACATATACCACCCCCCCCCCCAATGAATGACCACCCTGGATAGACCTCCACCCTCATTAAACCAGCAGATCTTGCTGCACAGATGTCAGCCATTTAAGGGGGTTTGAATACTAAACACTTGTTCAGGAATCAGGATATAGTGCTGCTGTACATGTACTGTACAGTATTTGAATTTTGTTGCCAACAGTGAAGCAGGAAGGGTACCTCAATAATCGCTCAACAGATACATAGTTATTCAGAATTGCAAGAGAATGGCAGTTCAACGTGACTTACACTACAGTTCGCTCACGATTCTGTTGACGTATAGTTATCTGGTGGCCATTTCTTCATTTACTGAATTGGTGGGGTTCTTCCTGGCCGTTCCGAAGCCAGAACCGAACATGAGCGCTTATGCGATTCTGTACCGAAAATAATTGTACAGTACTGTACGGTAGTTTCTCGTTCAGTTATCCCACTCATGGTCTCCCAGAGCTGTGAACTCAATATTCTACGGATTTCGGTCATTACCAAACTCTTGTGTACTCTTTCGCGAAGCATGAAAGCGAGAATTAGAGCTCGAACACCATAAATCCAGGAAAAAAGTGAAAACTCAACGTTAGATCCAATTCTTGAGAGCAATGGACTTCGTGAAGGAATACAGTTGATGGCTGATGGGAGAAGGCCCGAAGGATGATGGAATACAGTATACTGTATTGTATCTGACTCCCAGACGGGATAGACGCTCTGTCGGTCATTCACACTTCTTCCCGGAAGGGTTTCACTGTAAGCTTCTGACTCTCTATGCCCCTTGGGTACAATGATCCTAATTATTCTACTATTTTATTTATGTATTCTTTAATCGAAAGCGTGTACATGTGTGGGTGTGTATGCGTGCTTTCTGCATTTGAGATAAAGATGTGATGAACGAACTCCGCGGAAGTCGTCTAACACCGAAGGTTGGTCGTCGAACAGCTTGTGGTGTTGGACGAGTTCATACATTAGAATGTTAATACCGCATTGTGATTTGAGACCAGTCTTGGTGGATTCTCCTCGGAGACATTGGTCAGTGACGGCTCTGGGTCGGTCTTGAAGTTTTGTTAGACCTACGATAGCTCCCCTTATTGGATCGATTAGTTACATACGGTGACCAAACTGGCGACCTAATAGTCGGGAGTTTCCTTTTCGTTTCAATAATCAAAGAACGTCCTAATCAATGTTGTACAAATGTACAGGACCGAACAATATTCATCTCGGGAGTGATGCTTTTATAATACTGTAGTATAGATAGTATCCATTGCTGTGGAAGCTCTTTTACATCAAGTCTTGTGAATTGCGGAGTACGAATTTTCCGGATCTCGTTCCAATGAAGACGATCAATTTAAATTAGGGATAGAATGGTCGTAGAATTTCGGGGAGTCGATTAGTTTAGCGTGAAAGCTTAGCTCATTAATTCTTTTCTCGAGCTTTCGATCTGGTGTATTTGCTGTACGATTGGAACCAGTGCCCAGCCCAGCGTTCGAGTTATTCAGCCGGCTAATGTTTTTCTATGTGCAGGATACCTACGGTTATAGTGTTCTGATGATCTGTGCGCTCTGTACTGAAGCCTTTGACGTTGCTGCTGATCTGAACAGTTATTTGAAGCATCTCCTGGAGTTGCATCATGTAGTGATAGACAAAGTGAACCTGATCGCTAATATCGAAAAGTGAGGGTCGTGTAATGATTTTGTTTGACAATGATGGGTTCATTACTTCGATGAAAAGGTACTCGAACTATTGGAAGAAGAGATTCGAGGGACATGAACTGAAAGAGTTCTGCTCTGTGATTGAAACGAAGTCGAAGGCTGATCAAGGCGTCTCTAATACGTACTTCTTGTTATGTGATACCCTGCCGGAGGACGAAAGCTTGCGCAGTGAGCTGCAAGCTGAAAGAAGAGTAAGATCTGAGGACAAAATGAATGCATGTGGTTCTGGAAGCTTTTCTTGCTAATTTTTTCGAAGGCGAAAGCACTGCAAGACTACGAGGAGGAAAGAGTGAGGGATTTCTGCAGGGAATGTCTCTTCTGTCCATCCAAATTCACTTGTCGCTCAGAGCTAGTTGAGCACATGAGCTCCTGGCATAGATTTCACATTGGACACGTGGATAACATTGTTTACTTGGAGGAATTCCTGGATGTTCTTGCAGCCAAACTTTCTAGGTTGGTACATCAGAGAAAAGTATGAATCGTTCATGTTGAAATTGTCCATAATACTCCAAGCAATAGAAAAGGCTTCCATCCTTTTCGAAAATGAGTGTCACTAGCCTTGAATTCATATTTCATTCCTCATTCGTGAACAGGTTAGAATGTTACTTCTGTGACAAAGTGTTCAAGGACCGGAATGTGCTCAAGGAACATATGAGGAAGAAAATGCACCGGAAGTTAAACCCGAAAAACAAGGTTTATGATAAGTTTTATCTTGTTAATTACCTAGAATTGGGAAAAAATTGGGAAGACATCGCAGCAGAAGCGGACGAAGAATATGAAGAGGATCAAGATTGGGGTGATTGGGTTTCAGATGCTCCGCGCATGTCGTGTCTATTCTGTAGTGTTGTCGAACCATCTGGCGAAGCCTTGTTTAGTCATATGAAAGACGCACATGGGTTTGATTTTGTGTCTGGAGCCGAAGTAAAAAGACTGGCGTTCCACGATAAGGTGAAGTTGGTCAACTACTTCCGGAGGTGTGTTGGTATTTTGAAATGTCCAGGCTGCGGTGATGTGTTCAATGCAAAGCAGGACTTCGATCTACACCTATCTAACACAGATCACTGGCTATGGCCTGAGGAAAATCTGTGGAATTCTCCGGAGTGAGTACTACGCTTGAAAATTACTTTCGATTTTTTGAAGTATCGAATAACCACATTATTCATCATGTTAGTGATAGCTTTCCCCATTCTTTAGCATGTGATTGTGAAACTTTCCCTTGAAAACATTTTATATATGTCCTTCGTGGGACATTTTGTAAGGAACCTTCTGGTTTTGTGTGTTCCAGGTATTATTTTCCTACCGTGGAAGATGATGACTTGCTCTGGGTGCTAGAAGACATCAATGATGATGATTTGTAGCTCCGTTTTATGGTGCTTTAAGTACATGTTGTGTGATTCGAACTGATTCCATGTTGTTGCTCTTTGCAGGACATGATCTCAATTTTTTAATTGAAAAACGAAATTGTGAACTATGGCTGAAGGTTGCTTTAAAACTCCAGCGAAACCAAAGGGCAGAACAAGTAAAGGTATTGATGTGTCTGGTGGGAAGTTCAATTTGGAGATTCCAGCTTCTCCTTTCTTGGCCCGGCTTGGCTATGGGACTGGTCAGTTCCTGCTTTCTCTCGTTCTAGCGTGTCTCCCTTTCCTTTTATCGAAGAGTTTCGATGTTGAACCTTGTTAGATTTCTAGATATAGCGGAGTGTATCAATGACTTCTTTTGCTGGGAGAACATATAGTATACGTACGCTGTATGAGATGTTGGAAGAACAGTGCAGCCATTATTATGAAGATACACAGTATGAATACTGTATGGGCACATATGTGTGCGTATGTATCTTCCTGAGAGGGAAATCTAATGTTTTCTGTCCAGATTTAGTCATTTGTTTCGAGAGTATTACTGCAGAGCAGAGTACGGGAATAAAATCTGTGTGAAGATGTGATCCCATCATTGATTATGAGATTCAGTTGGTTAACGAGCATGTAGATGAGAAAAATTAACCTTCAACCTCGCATCTTGAAAATTGTGATTTGTTTGCAGCAGTCTCCCTCCTAGAGTATGAAGAGCGGACGTGTCGTATTCTGCAACGGAATAGAATGCGCAAGATATGTTGATTTTCAGGAGGAATTTAGTTCTGGACTCGTCGTGGAATGGTACCGTTATGGAAGTAACGTATTCACAATTTTTGAGTATGAAGCTAATGTGAGGAAAAGCGATAACCAAGCGTTCAACCGCGTTATCTCCTTGAACTGTACAGCTAGCTACCACTGTGGAAAAATTCCTGAAAACCATTATTTCAGATCCTGTTGTATTCTAATTATTAGTGGTGGGAAAATTGCGATTGAGTGTGTGCTTATTATTTCCTCGAGTTTCAGTTTTCAAGTAGAAATATTTTCTGCAGGAGTCAGTGTTTACTCACTGGATAGAGGCAAAGAGCAGTCTCCGTGGGCCATCAAGAAGCTCAACAAATTCTACAGGGAGCGTCAAACTGTCCAGAAAGTTTGTTTGGAGAAAGAAGCTGAGCTCATGAGGAAACTGAACCATCCGAACATCATAGGCTTCAGGTCTTACACGCAAACCCCGGAAGGGCCCATGTTGTTGCTGGAGAAGTGCGACTGGTCTTTGCTGGATGTCATCGAAGAACGGGTTGATAAAGGGTCTAATGCCTTCGAAGCTTGGAAAATTGAGAAGGTTCGTCTCGAAGAATTGATCGCAATGGATCGTCTCTTCATGTTTCATTAAATTAGGTGGCGAAAGATGTAGTTTTTGCCCTGGAATTCCTGCACCACACTCTGTTCTACATGCATGGGGATTTGAAGTCTGCAAACGTGCTCGTGAATGGTGATTTTGACGCTGTTAAACTCTGCGATTTCGGAGTCGCGGTTAAAATGGATGAAGACTTTACCGCCCCTGCTGAAGAATACACGGGTCTCTATAGCCTTTGACTGCGTTTGAGTACCCCTTTTAACGACTTCATGTTACAGGGACGCGATACTGGCTGGCAAAAGAGGTGTTGGAAGGAAGCAAGGAGAGGATCACGAATAAAGCAGAAATGTATTCCTACGGACTGACGGTCTTCGAGATGCTGAGCTTGTCTTTTCCCCACATGGAAGATGCTACTGATTGCTCAACCAGCACTGAGACGGATTCTTCTTTCCCTGAAGATGAGGATTCCGTTGTGGATGAATCTGAAAATTCGAGTGAGCAGTTTTCATCTCAAGTATTACTGCGCGGATGACGTGGGTTCCACGAAAATTGAACCTGGCTTGAACTTGTTGGTCTCGATTAAGTGTGATCATTTCGGTTATGTAATGTGAAGAAACAAACTTGCCGTCCTGTGAGGACAGCTTGACGAATGCAACAATTGAACGAGGAAAAAGGAATTGGACGAGGAGAGATGAATTTATCTTGATCGCACGAGATTTCAGTGCAGGAAATGATCTTTTTCAATGGTTTAGGTTTATCCCTCGTTTTGCCTTTGCCAATTGTGATGTATAACTTAGACTGCACTTTTTTTGCTGATTTCTGTGATAATGTTTTAGTTCATTCAACTTGTGGCTCAATTTTTGCCTTTCGGAAGCCTTTCCTTCGTTATCGCCACTTTTGGTTTTCGCTGTGCAAGTCATGGGCTTATTTGCTGTTGGTGTTGCTGCCGTATAATGTCATAAAAGTCGCTAATATGTTCTGTATTTCTCTTCTAGCGCTAGGCACAAGACCGTATTTGCCGGAGCGACTGGCTGCTTTTTATGCTGCTGACAAGAACTACAATGACATTCTTTCGATTTACTTCCTGTGCACCAGCGAGAATGCTGGTGAACGCCCTGCTGCGAACCACTTGGCGTCTTCTTTCCGAGAGAAAATGGCGGCTGGGGAGGCTTGAAATCTCAACTTTTCGTGGCTGGATGTGTGGCTAAATGCAAACGGACAAGTGTTGTGACTTTTTGATATTTCATCCTGTTTCTTTTTCAAGCTCAAGGAAGACACTCCCTTTCTGTTCCAGGGTTCTTTTGGTGCGAGTGATTGTTATACTAGATTTTACGTTCGAACTTCTGTTTCTGAATGGGAATTCACTGATTTGATTTATCGAGTGGCCCAAGGTGGGCTTTTCTCTTGAGTGAGTGGAGGAATAATGGGTGACTCTGGACCTGCGAGAACGAATGTGATCATGCTTCCAGCGTGTCAGTTTTTTGCTGACTTGGGCTACGGATTCGGTAAGTCTTGAACTGCTTTCTTCGAAATCCTTGGAAATACACGAAAAACTTGCTGTAAAGGTTTGACGAGCTACACCATCACGTCCCATCCGGACAAGAGAGGACTCATGAGAGGAATTTGGTCAAGAATTTCAGCCCAAGAAATCTTGAAAGAGAAGATATCCATGCGTGAGACTGAAAGCCGGCATTTCTGCGAAGAAGAATCTGCTTGCTTAAGAAAGTTGGAGCACCCGAATGTCCTCGGCTGTTTGGCTCCGCTTGAGGCTCTTCTCACTAGCCCGCACTTCCTCCAGCACTACACAACTCTCAAGACCCTCGTATATGAAAGACTCAATTCTGCTGATCCATTCCCATCCAGTGATGTAGATAAAGTGAGTGGCTTTGTGAGCATTTCGATGAGAATAATGCCTAGTAGCCGAGGGTTATCTAAGGGTCAGTAAAGGAATGTAAAATTTTTGCTCGATCTTTGTAAATATGGGTGGGAAAATCGGCGAGTTCTCGTGAACTTCGATGCAAGGCGCGGGCTCAGTGGAACATTTTCCTCGAGTATAGCTGTCCTAAAGAAACGTGATTCCTTCATTTATTTCAGGTGGCAAGAGACTTGGCATTTGCTTTGGAGTATCTCCACAATGAAGTCAGTTATCTCCACGGGGATGTGCAATCAGGAAATGTGATCGTCCAAGGAAACTTTGAAAGAGTGGTGCTTGCTGATTTCAGGGTTGCCTTGAAGCTTGATGATGATCTAACTGCTCCTGTCGCCCATTACCATGGCGAGTTGCTGAACCTGCCGCGTATGCCGAGAGTTCATGACGTTTAATTTTTTCTTGTTTCTTCTTTCTTTTCTTTTCAGCAACCAAAGCCTGGTGCCCAAAAGAAGTTTTGAAGAAGAGAGAAGTTAAAGTGTGTCACAAAGCTGAGATGTATGCCTATGGACTTACCTTATATGAAATGTTGGCTCTTGAGTTCCCTCACTTGGATGCGGCGCTGAGTGATGACAGACTGGATCAAGATGGCTATGACAGTGATGACTTGGATTCTAGGCCTCCTCCGTTTTTGCTACCTGGAGGTGGACCTGTTCAGGTGGAAGTGCTGGAAGAATATGCTTTGTTCACCAGTGAGTTTTATTTTATTTTTATTACTGTATTTTACCACAAGAATGACGAGGCAAACACATTGTTTCTTCAGGGCTTGGATCTCGTCCCCAAATCCCATGGGTTTATGCAGATATTTACTTACAAAACCCTGACTACCACCCAGCAGTTACAGCATTCTACCTCTGCACCACTGCTGGACTTAGAGGGAGGCCCTCCGCTGCACATATGGCATCCTTTTTCAGACAACACGATGGTGGCTCTTGTTCAACATCTGATTGACATGCCCGAATGGAAACTCTCAAGCACTTTGAATGGGCTTTGAATGCTGTTTTTTTTTTTTTTAGCTTTTTTTCGCGCAATGGACGGGTTCTGGATGATGACTATATGACAAATGAAGTGCTTTCGTGCAGCCGGGTTCTGTTTCTAATATAATTTGAATTTTTATTTATAAAAATAACTTCTTCTTTAGAAAATGTGTTCTATTTAAATCCGTGAACCTCTGGTGAAGTGCTGGAGTTGCGCAGAATCTCGGTAAATTGGAACTGAAGGTGAGCCTCGGCACTATCGTTGGATTGAGAACACATTGAGCCCCAATTTTTAATCCCTTATAAGACGTGAGGGCCAGTTTGGATTATAGTTGGCTTCAGATAATGTTGCTATGTTTATGATTGCAGTTCCAGAATGGTGAACGAGAAGCCGAAGATTTCCTTGGAAGTTGCTCACTCCATCTATCAACATGTCCCGGCATTCACAGACGTTTTCGACGAGGAGACATTTTACATCTTTGCATTCTCGCTTACTATTGGTGCTTTTGTGGCAGCATTCATTGTCTCGCGATTTGTCACTTTGAAACCCTTGGAATAGTCCGCATTTTTGTACAATACTTGGCTACCCGTGAGTGTTCCACGAAATTACAACTTCAGCTTACGTGTGCGTTCTTGTCTATTCTTGATTACCTGGGGTTTGGTTGAAGTTCAGTTTTTAAAGTGGTGTGCGTTCATTTTGAAGGTTCGTGTTTTTATTTTTTTATTTGTGTCATGGGGACGAGAGCGGCAGCTTGTAAGTGAATTGAATTTCGAGTTTGAATTTTTTGGGGTAATTCAAAATTGTCCGTTAGTTGCCGCCAAAGTGAGAAGTCTGAATGATTTTCATGCGAGAATTGTTAACGGGGTGCAGCCTGCTCCTACAGGAATGGATGTTGCTAATACACTTCGGCACTTTAATCAACTCCTGTTGGGTAAGTTGATGAAATACTCCTGTGTAGGAATTACGGTGCACTTAGCTTTTTCCGACAGCATTTCTGAAAGATGTTCCGGAGTGCAGCTTGACACTGTTCAGAGAAGGAAAAAACGACGACATACGGCTATCCGTGTTCCCAAGTCTTGATTACAAAGGCCTTCATGATGCCATCATGCTTCTGGCAGAGACTGCGTCGGATTTTGCAGTTGGTAGCACTGGTAGGTCGTTATTCGAGAATGCAGAACAATTTCTGCAGGTGTTATCTGATTTCCCAGTGCTTGGTGAAACCGTATTGGCGTGCCTCAGGAGCCTAATTCCGTATCTTGACACTCATTGCATCAGGACATTGCCCTTCGCGGTTGCCAGCTTCTTTTCGAGTTTCCCAGCGTCTTTGCACAAGGACATCGTTCAGACTTTGTGCTACAGTGTTTTCCCGTACTCTATCTGTGAGTCTTCCTCGTGATCGAAAGATCTTTCGGTGGAGATCATTAATGATGGGAATGCGAATATTCAAGGTGATGTTGGAGAAGAGGTGGAATTGGCAAAGGAGTCCAGTGGAGCCATTTTGATGCAGGCATTCCAGCACTGTGAAAATATGGGGTATTTGTGCCAGATTGCGGAGTTCCTCATGGCTGCCAAGTGCAGGGTGCTCAGGGACATCCTGTGCATCATTGCGCATGGCGTGCACGCAGCCCGGCCTGCTGCAGTCAAACTGCTCTTCTACTACTGGCCCAGTTTGTTCCTGACGCCTTTGGATAGGAGGAATCACAACACAGAATCACGTAACTTTTGCATGTAGTAGCGTCGAGTTGTGTTTTGTTGGTGAGTTTTTGTTCTTCGTCCTGCACATTCTCTCGTTTCGTTTGTTGGTGTCGATTTTTATTTTTGTAAAATTTTCTGAGCTAGGTTTGTTAAAGGAAGAGTGAAAGAACGGCGTGATTATTTTACTCAGCTGGCTGGACCATGATAGAGTGCCAAAATCCGGCGTGTCATGGAGGTGCACTGACTGGAACCGATACCGACCTGTCCGCACTGGCGGACATTTCTGGGAACAACCACACGAGGTGTCCCCCGGCCACCTACGTGTCTTATGATCACAACCTATGCATGACACTGAGCGGGGAAACTCACCCACCACCTTTGTTCCTGTGTTCGGATTGCACGGAGGGCGTCAGGAAAACTTGGCCTTCGGACCACCCACCTGTTGAAGACCACATCTTGCCTTTGCAGCAAGTTTCGCTGACCTGCGAGAATGTGGTTAGTAATATTCGACATATTTTGAAAAATATGCCCTGGCTCCGCTTTTGGACACTTCAGTACAGGTGGACGCTCTCTGCAACGATTTTGTCTGTAACGATTTTCTCCGGAGGGTGTAGAATGAAATGACCCTGATGAATAGGTTTCTGATGTTCCCTCCTAAGAAATGACCTGCGATGCGGAACAAACTGCGGCCGTTCTGAGCTATACTGTTCAAATTCACCCGTGAAACTGCGTACCGTATGTGAATTGAAGGTTTTCCGTAAAAGAGAAGATCGAATGTAGACCTTGGAAACACACACAACAAACACACATTTATATTAATAATAATTATTTTTTCTTTCTTCGGTGAGAGCTGACGTTTGGACCAGTATGTTTCCGAGTTCATCCTCTATCCACAGACTCTCACGCCATAACTGCAGGACACGTCTCTGGTGACATACTTCACGAGTTCACGTGAAATTGAACGAAAGTCTGTTATATAATGTGATTTCTCCGCTATTTGTTGAAAAGTTGAGAAATTGCAAGGAAAGGTAGTCTTGTAAAAATATTAAATGGACCAGCATGTCGTTGGCGAAAGAAAAATAATTTCTTCAGTGTTCTGCATGGATAAATAGAAAAGCAAAAGAAAAAAGAAAAACCTGATTTATTATTCTTGAATGATTGCGGTACACAATGATTTACCAATTTTTTTGGCGGACACGTTTGATCGTAGGAGAAAATCCTGTGACCCGAAATACTTGTAAGAGCTTTTTTCATCCAGAGCTGCCGGTCTACGGAGAAAGCTGCAGTGGCAACATGCTTCTCTCTGGAGTGTGCCACGTACAATAGCAATCACCCAATCCGATACTGTGCCCAGTGTCACAACATCAGACATAATGCGAGGAGAGGATGGAGCCATGCCTTCACTACAACATTTACTTGTGCATGGGAATTGCCCCAAGACACTCAACCCTTCCTCGTCGAAGCTATTGTTAGGCGAGTGCAATATTCGATTTTTGACTGGGGTTTTCGTCGTTGAAGTTGCCCCTAAGTACTTCTGAATTCATTTGCTTCGCCATCTTTTGGATCTAGGACAATTTAAGACAGGAAATTCAGACAGGGACAATTTGAGACGGAAACGTTTGCAAATGAGAATTTGAGACAAATACTGTATTTGGAGATGTATGTTCAATTTGAGACGGGAATATTTGGAGGCGTGTAAAATTTAAGAAAGATACATTCGGAGACCAATTCCATTTTACAATTTGAGAAGGAAGTGAATGAATGGACCTCCATGCAGTCTTCTTTATGGTCCTTTGACTTCAAAACATGACGATTCTTCCTAAATCTTCTTCCACAGAATCATGAACGAACCATTCTTCTCCACCCAAGTTGCATTACAATATTCTTTGGGAACGATGCCCACTTCATTGAAATCTCTTGTGATACTGAGCAATTTTCTTCTTTGCGCCCTGTAAAAAGTTTTTTTGAATACCTTTCCTTCTTTGAAAGAGCGTGAAGAACTTCAGAATCATCGCTGGCTATGACTTCTTGTGTCAACACTGATGGGGCTTCAGTTGCGTGCCCTTTTGCTACTGTCTCGATCGTGTCGCAAATTTCCCTGTCTCTAATTTTTGCTGCCTCAAAACCTCCTTATCTCTTATTTTTTGTTGTCTAATCTTTCCCTTTTCGAATTTTCCCTTGATTTGTCCAGCCTTGAATTTTCTCTCTCAAATTGTCTCTTGATTTATCCAGTCTCGAATTTCTCTTTTCATATTTTTCTGGTAGGAAGGATATCTTAGGAGGGATTGATTTCAATCAAGCTTCAGCTAAAATCAGTTTCCGCTCAAATCTTAGTTTATCGTCAGTCATCACCAGTGGTATTAGATCAAGGAAGTCGTATGATTTATATGCACAGATGCACGAGAAAATCCCATTGGCCCGAAAATCTCGCAGGGTACAAAAATGCCGCTAAGTAAAACCTGGTGGATGAAATTAGTCTCGAAAACGACATTTACACTTCTTTAGTAATTCAGACATTTTCTACAGCATATTGTCTATTTTAGTTACCAAAACAGCCTCTCTCTGATGCTTAAATTCAGATTGCAAAATTGTTTTACCCCGAGAGATATTTATAGGCCTACGGAAGTTCAGAGCCGGAGGATTTTCTCATGGAGCCATATGTACTGTATAAGATCGGGTTCGATTAGTTGGGTTTTCATGTTTGTAATGGTGGTGTCTCAAGAAATAACACGATATAAAAAGGGGGCAGCAAAGCTGAAACGAGCACGTTTTCGTGACCCATCATACGCATCTGCAGTTTGCTGAAAGAAGCAGAACCTGTCCTGGAGAAGGAGGAGATCAGTGGCACATCCATGCAAGAAATCCTTGGCGAGAAGCACCAACGACTCCTGGGAATGTTGTCGGGCGACACTGGTGACCTCGAGCAAGAAGCGAAGGCCCAGGAGGAAAGGAGACTCATGTCCCGGTTCGGTGTTTACCTGCTGGTGGGACTCTGCAAACCTGCACCCGACGTACCCGAGCATGTCCTTGGACGCCTGCTAGCCATGCTCTTTCAGTGGTATTACTCCACTGCTTGTTTGTCGGACGACAAAGCTGGGAATGCAATTGAGCAGATTAAGACTGACTACACCAACACCTGGATATCTAAGGTCAAGTCGGACTACCCCATGCTAGTGAACGCCTGTTTGCTGCCGCATCCTCCCACTTACGCAAAAGTCGGAGGAAAATGGTCAGAGACCGAATTTCCGAGGTTTATCGTTTTTCTAAAAATGTTATTCTGTGCCGCAGGGAGATGCAAGTTTCCAGGTGGGAGCACGTGAAAATGGGGATTGAACGGCTGTTTTGCCTGGTGCCCTATGAACTCATTTCGCTCGAGATGTGGACCCAAGTGATGCCTATTTGGATGGAAGTTATTGTGAATGACGTCCCTGAAACCGAGCTGCAGGATCTGAAGGGAATATTGAGGTAATTCTTCGAAATCTTTCTACTGTTTTGGCGTGCCATTGCGGAGCGTGCATCAGCGTTTTCAGCTACTGCACAGTATAGTCAAACCTCTTTCCAAATTTCTGTGCGGGATGATTTTGGCGCGTCACACGGGTGTTCAAGTTTATGGTAGTGGGCCACATAAAAAATTGAGACAAATCAGTGACTGAAGAGTGCTTTAGGAAGACAATAATATACAGTACAACGTTTTTATTCAGAACGAAATAAACTGAAGAGCACGTTCGGAATGAAGAAAACCTTGTCAGATTATCAAGAAAAAATGGAGAAGAGCATGTTTCAGAAGGAGAAACCTTGATGAGACACAAATAACACGTTGGCAGTTTATATAGGGAAAAAATGAGGGTATGAGCCTGTTCGAGATAGAAAAAAATGAAATCTTGGTGTATGGCCTCCTATCGAAGTTTCCCCATTCCTTCAAGTTTTGGCAGACTTGTCTGAGGCAAAATCTTAGCGGGAACCAAGGGTGGCAGTTTAATGGGTTAAACTGTTCGGGTTTTGAGAAGTGTGCTGTTGTTATCTGGTTGAAGAAGAACTGTATTTTTGAACCTTCTATGAGGCGCCATAGTATTTGTACCGCAATTGGAAAAGCTGCAAAAATAAAGCGAAAAGAGATGCAAGTAGCGAGACGCCCATTCTCAGCGATTTTATGCAGTTCTAAGGATTTGATGGAAATATTGGATTTCTTCCAGCAAAATCTTGGATCCAGACATGAGTCCTTTGGGCTTTGACGCCAGCCAGACCTACGAGTTCATTTCCTCAAGGTTTAGGAACTGTGCAGCGAACGTCCAAGAGCAGGCTCTGTCTTGGCTTCAGGCGCTTTCAATTTTGCAAATCGCTGTCCCTGTGCATCTTCTGCTGAAAATGTTCCACCAGGGCGTAAAAAGCCTGACTCCAGATGCCACTGTGCCTTGCTTCTTCCCCGATGCTCCGAGTACGCTTTGATCTTATTCTCTTGCAACATTTGACTTCATTTGAGGTATTCCGCAGAGCTTGTGAAATCGGAGAATGAGTCGGACAGCGCGGACGACTTCCTCAGTTCTTCAGAAGCTGAAGACGAAGAGCTGTATAAAGAGCTTGAGAGAAACAAGAAAAGAAAGTTCCGCGGCAAACAACCCGATGAGACATACGTGGATGACTCTGACCTCAACATAGTCTGCTTCGTTCAGATGCTGGACATTTTGTTGTCCCAATTGGAAACTGCCGAGATTAAGCGGCACGAGGGAATAGATTATTTTCCTGGCCCCCAAATCGCTTCCCTACTCCAAGCAATGCTGCAGGTTGAGTGGTGCTCCAGCGTGTCGCATGCTTGCAAGGATAGGTGTGAATGGGAGTATAGAAGAGGGGCTTCTTTGCGATCGAGAAGAGGACCGCGGAAGAAGAGGGATGACGGTGACAATGAAATCGGAAGAGCGCTGGGTGACCGGTGTCGTGGTGATGCGGATGACGAGGAACCGATCGATTGTCTCCAGTGTTACATGGCCACGGTTTGGTATCAACTGGCTAAAGACTTGCTGGACTACGTCATCCCTGACTCCAAACCGGACACCGGAGACCAGGTACTTGGACATTAATTTGGAATTTTCCCGCGTAAGTAAAGTTTCCACTCGTGTCGTGAAAATGTGAGTGCGTTGTGGCGCACACGTATGTTGAGAATTTTTGGTTAGTGTTTTCTTAACCCCTCCGTTTCACGGAATCAATTTCCCTCGTTTTTGTAAAACTTCAGACGTGGTTCATAAGTATTGTTAGAACCTTGAAAATATGTTGAATAACCAGAAGTCCGGGTCCGAATCCTCCGAACGACAGCGGAATTGCGGATTCAATAAATGACAAGACTCGACTTGGGCGATGTTTTACTCAACACAGTGATTGACCTTTAAGGAAAACCTTCATGACTGTCAAAGAATTTGTAAAACGTGCAGATATGCGGGAGAACCTCGTTTCTTCACGCTGGATTTTTAATTTATCTTCTTCCCTTTCTTCAAATTCGGGCGAGGAAAATATCGAATATGTCTCCATCCATCCAACAGGACTAATAAAAAAATAATAATGATGATAATTGCCAGTCCTTTTACTCTTACGTTTTTTTCTGGATTCGGGAACTCACCTCGGATTTTACACCTGGTCACCCTTTGAAGAGAGGAGTACAGGAGAAAATCCCGCAGCCCTGCAAATCCTGTGGGGTAACAAAAATTCCGCGGGTTACGAAAATACCGCGAAGTACAATACTGTAGACCTCAATCAATCTGGGCTTCAGTATTTTTGAAAGCGGAGAACCTCACAGTATTTCACAGTACGATTATTTTGAGGTTTCCAGTATTGAAATCTGTTGCGGGAAATTTGACTTCGAAACTGCATTTATACTTATTTAATAATTTAGAATTTTTCTACGCACCTTTTCCTACTTCATCTACGGAGATGCATCAATTCACGTTGTGGAATTTTTGTACCCAAAACGATTTTCAGGCCCTGGTAGGTTTTCGGACCTACGAGATTTTCTCATGAAGCCAAAGGAAAAGGGTCTGAAATGAATGACGAGCCATGTTTTTTTGCCCGTTCATTGTGTACAGGAAGATGACCGGGCTAGCCCTACGCACGATTTTCTCAAAGATGCAGCAGAGGAAACAATAGAAAGGAAGGGTGAAGGTGTGGAAGCTGGCGGCGTTGTGATGATGAAACCCTCGGAAGGCATTATCAGCTTGGGAGAGCATGACGTTTGTCCGGCTGTGGGAGCCGTGAGTTACTCGCAAAAACTGAGGACAGCCGTGATGGAGCAAGTAACTGAGGATGTTGCAGCCATTATCCCCCAGGAACATGTGGTAGCCGCTGTTGCAAAAGCTACTACGACAACTGAGGACGAAGCCGGTGCGATAAGACCGAAGTCAATTCTTGATGTTCTTGCTCTCCATTGAATTTCTTTTATTTATCTTTCAGGACAGGCGAAAGTTCTGGTGGCTTCTGCCATGTTGGTTGGGGAGAATGACGAACCTGTGGAACAAGGACCTGCTGCAAACCCCGCCCAGTCTACCTTCTGGTCTACTTCTGTCGGGAGGTTCAAGTTCTCTTTGCAGGACTTGCCGCCTCAGCTTCAGCTGATCTACCAGATGTTGACAGTCAGTGTTCGTTGTCTGAAGGTTTATCATGGAGTTGATGCGATTTTTATTTTGTGTACTGCACAGAAAATGCCCGACTACAATGACCCTGATGTGGTGTATCATTTAGTATTGTGCTTGCAAAGGTTGATTCTGCCGGGCGAAGCCTTAATGCAAGCTCACAGGGACCACAAAGGATTCCTTATATGGTGTCAGGAACAGCTGCTGCTTAAGCAGTGAGTTGCCGTGAAAAAACTACTCTTTCGCTGATTCAGTTCAAAACCTTCGGTTCAGCTTTTGGCAGTTGTTGCAAGCGAAATATTCGCACATTGCAAGGATCAGTGTGACGCTGATTCTTCATTGTCTGAATTTGCCCCTGGGAGCTGAAGTGATGCACCAGATCCTGGTGGAAACGTTTCATTCGGAGTCCTGGCATGATAGATTCACTGGAGGTGAGATCAGCGTAATTATCTGCTATTGAACCTCAAATATCAGCAAGTAGTTTTATTGTGCGCATATCACGGATAAAGGAATTCGAGAATCACCCAGTTCCAATATTTTTATCGTAGTGGGGAATTTCAAGCGCAGAAATTGAACCTTGATCAAGCATGTACCGCGTTTTGAATGAATAATGATCTTGCGAAAAGTTTTCATTTTTGCACGAAATCCTATTTTGAATTAAGGGAAGATATGCATTCAAAACCCTGGCGAATTGTTCACTCCGCAGACTTCTGTTTCTGACGTGCTCCTCGAAGTAGGGGCTCTTGACATTGCCGACATTTTTGTTGCAACTTTAAGGCCGATGAGCTGGTAGCCAAGTGTATCCCAAGTGCTTTCTGTTATGAAATTTTTTCTTGAGCAAATTTTGAATTGTAAGAAATCCAGTCGCGTTACCGTCCTAAAGTTACTGAATTTTTTTCCGAAAGAGAAGAAAATCTGAGATGAATTGCTGCTGGATTCTCGGCCTTATTTTCCCTGAAATTCGAGCAAATCGTTTTTTTTTTTTCTTGTTGAAGTAGAAGCTTGATGATCTGTGATGATGATACTTCGGGTTTTCCAAAACCTTTGCTTTAATGTTTCCTCTCGTTCTTTTTCTTCAACGAAGTGGAAAAGGTGATGGTGCTTGGACAATACCTTGAAAGTAGGTCTGTGAAAACCAGTGGATCGCCGGTGTTTTCCTCTCTGGCGACTGCATTCTGCTTTGCTGTAGCATGTCTAGAGGACGTAAACCACCACGTTGCCTATCGGGCTGCCATGTGCTTGGATCTGCTGACAGATACTGGATTGAAAGTAAGGCGATTGTTTTTTTATTAGCCTGTACATGTCATCTTGTACAACATCCTTCGTTTCAGCTTTTATGTAGGTGTCTTGAGCTGCAGTTTGACACCGTGGTAGTGGATAGGCCGATCATCCTTCAAAGCCTTCGCAAAGTGTCCAATTGCCTGCGAAATCGTCCAGTGTTGTCCTGGGAGTTCTTCTTGGCTAGATTTGACGCACTGTTTCTGGAGGCTCAGGTTCAGATGGACAAGACATCGTCCAGCTTGCCCTTCCCAAGAGGTGTGTGTTAAAAAATGAGTACGTATCCTCATTGCATTTGCATCCGAAAAACAAGTACTGTATTGTATTCGAAAAAAAAATTCGCGATGAAGCAAGCATACGAAGAAGAATCAGGAATCAATTCGATCGTAACCTGATCTGAAGTTTTGCTGCTGTTAAACTGATTGTATGATGCATACTACTTTACTTTAGCATCACTGTACGGGATTTCATGGCGAAGTAGAATCTCATTACAGTACAGTACAACGAAAGTCGTCATAACGTATTCGTGCTTACAAAGAATGCGTTTTTCAGGCCCCTGACCGATAGCCACAATTTTATTCAAATACAGAGTAATTTAATAGCGAATTTTTATGATAACGAAGCTTTTTCCCGGTCACAACAACTTCGTTGTATCTAGATTCGCCTGTACTACCTTCTTTTTTTATGCTTGCTTTCTTGAAACTTTCTCTTCGGATATTCGCCATTTTTCATATACCATCTTTTCGAAGACTTGAGAAACAACAACCTGGATAGCAAGGTCTTGCAGAGGAAGCTGAGCAGGGCCCATGAAGCTGTGAGCTCCATTGACCAAGGGTCATCGAATACCCTCGGGAAACTGACATTGTCCTCGACCCTGGGGCTCAAGTGGCCCTACAAAAGAACCATGTCTGCCCCGGCGTCGATTGGTGGCGACACTGTCAGTTCGGGTCAAGCTTTTAATCCGGATGTAACATGGGACCACTCTCGAAAGCGATGTATAACCTTCCAAGCATAAGTTTGTTTTAAAATTCTGATTTGAAATGGAATCTTGCAGCAAGAGTTTGGAGCAGGCAAAGTTCAGCACCGATGATGATCAAGAGGAAGAGTTCCAAGTTTTGGCCAACGCATTTACTCGGTGGAGCAAATAATGTTCACGCTGGATCAAAGGCTGCTGAAGAGGTCAGCACAGCCATCCTGATTCATCAGAATCTGGAGTCCGAAGACACGGACAGAGAGACCTTACATCTGCTCATCTCCTTGCTGATGCACTTCATGGCCAACTTGGCGAAGGTCTGGTTGGAAAAATTGCTGTTTTGATAAAGTAACGCGAATGTATTTTTCATCTTTAGCCGGTGGCTGCGGATGACAGACCGAAGCTGAAGGTGCAGAACATAGTCATCCAGCACCTGAGCATCCTGCTGGGATATCTGCCTGTTGAAAAGACATTCGTTGTTCCTCCCTTGAAGATCCGGTGAGTTTTGAACAGTTCAGTGATGGAAGTTGTTCAGGGGGTGTCCCGTGTACCATGCGGGGTGTTTTGAATCAGAAATGCATCGAAATTGATGGTGAATGTGCGAGATTTGCTTGAAGGAGGAAAAGCACTGAAAATATCGTCAATTATTTTTAGAAAATTTCAGTCGACTGCGTTGAACTCAATTATCATGTTTTTTCAATGTATATACGCTCATAGACGATCACCGAAGACAATAAAACTTACATAGCTCTGCGTAAAATTGGCATACAGTTAAATTCCGTTGCGACGAATCTCGTAAAAAAAAAATTGTCTGGTTCCGAGCAGTTTCTCCATAGGGACAATGATCTATGTAAATGTTTATAATAAACTAATTTTCCTATATAATATGAGAACGACGAATTTTTGCCTTGATTATGTGTGCATGGACCATCGACATTTTTACCAAGTGGTACAATATGGGAAAATCCAACTTGTTCATGATTGAAAACATCTTTACAAATCTAAGTTTAAATCTTCTGTTACAGGAAATTTAGAATTGCAGGAAGTTTCAGGATTTTAAAATTTTGAAATGGATGGTTATTTTAAAGAAAATTGTTTGAAAGAATGTTTTCTGATTTCAGGGAATGTACAGCTGTTGATGAACAAATGCTTTTCGTACACTTTTTTCTGTTTAATTCAACTTATACTTCCGTAATACCAGCATTTTTTAAAGGAAATCTAAGAAAGGTAAGGTCTGAAATAAATTTTCAGTCCTGCACACTCGGAAAACCAAGAATCTAATTACAACGAATTTTTCGTTTGTTGTGATGAAATTTTACTGTTCTCTACCCGTACTGTACAATCGTGTTGTCCAGTGACATATACCCACGCTGGAATATTTAATTGTATCAGACAAGAAAACATTACATCGTATGGAATACGGAATCTCAATGCGGATTAAGTTTCATAAAACCATCCAGACTTTCTAAAGCGTTGTGAATTATTTAAGAATATCATAAAATATCGAAGTGCATTAGCAGAGTTTAATGTTACGGCTTTTCCCTCAGGTTCTCTCCGATGTTCAATGCTTTCCTGAGCAGTTTACCAGATGTTCTGGATAGGAATGTGAAAGTTGGAAACTTGCTGGCGCCAAATCTTCTGGCAATTCTGATTTATTGCCCGTCTCCTCAAAAAGCACCTGGTGAAAGGTACCCACCGAATTATTCCTTGTGGTTGGTGGACCCACCTCTGAGACACTCCTGGCTTGTGTCGTCATTGATATTTTTGTACAAGGTTTGTGAATTTCAAAATCTGTGTTACCTTGCTCGAGTTTGCGATTTTAGTTGTATTTTCACTTTTCAGTACCATTATAACGTGGAGCACTTGTCAACGCAAGTGCAAGTATTGATCAGACTAGTGCTGAACACCATCCAGTCACAGAGTCACAAGTGCAGAAGTCTGCCCGCTGCAGCACTTATCCAGCAAAGCCAGCTTTCTATGAGTGAGTAGATTTTTTAGGTCACCCTGAGCAAAGTGAAAGGAGTCTCGTTTCCAGACCCGAGCCCATCTGCTGAGTCTCTGGGTGGGTTGGAGTTCGGTCCGCATACCTATCAAAAAGATGGACAGACGCCTCCGATTACTCCAAAACCGCCGCCAGGGATCTTGGCGGCAAAGACAAGTCATGCGCTTCACCAACATTTGGGTCACGTGTGTAAATTTTGTTTCTTGCCTGCCTGTCTATTCCACCGAAATGACCATATTTTGTTAAATTTGGCGCAAGTTGAAGTATATTTTTTATGTTCTCGTATTATTAGTTGGGGGTTGTAAAGTTTTCCCATTTTTTCAATGGCTCGCCTCAATTTCTGAAACCTTTCCAGTGTTCTCCGCCAAGTGGCAGTCATTCAACTAATTTCCATTTGAAATCGTAAAGCGATGCCTGAAGTAGTGCGTGCTTTTGAAACTGCCGTCACTTTCGGAATAATGTATTTGGATTGATTTTCACCTACGTTTGATAAGCTTAGATAAGTTGAGTCAGTGAACGTACGAGGGGTTACAAGGTTCCGCTCGGAATCGTTTCGGTGCGGACTTGAAATGATCTGAGCACCAGTGATTTTTTAAAAACAATTTTCTCATGTTCACTAGTTCCAAGTGGCTAGGCAGACACCTTCTCAACGTAATCACCACCAATTTTTACACACTTCTCAGCCCTTTTGATCCATGTGTTGAGACAGGCCTTGAAATGTTCAGTTGTTCAATTTTGAACCTCCCCCAGAACAGCATCAACAAGCTTATCCTTGGTTTCAAAGTGTCGGCCTCTCATAAGGGCTCCATCAGCTTCGGAAAGAGCCAAAAGTCAGAGGAGGCCAGGTGAGGGGAGTGGGGTGGTGGTGTCAAAGACATTCAGGCCCGATTCCTCCGGGCAACGGACGGTGGACGTCGCCTTGTGGGCTGGGGGCATTGTCATGGTAGAACCACCGCTTTGGTTTCGACACATGGATTAAAAGGGGCTAAGAAGTGTGCGCGAATCAACTGCAATTACATTGAAAAACTGTCTGCCTAGCCCGTGGGATACCGGGGAACAAGAGAAAAAATCCCTGGTGTTCAGATCATTTCAAGTCCGCATGGTAACGATTCCGCGCAGAACCATGCCACCTCTTGTTATGCTGAAATGAGTGCGCGGGGAAATGTGCAACCCCTCGTATACAATATTCAGCATTCCCTGTGAAGTATGTCGGACATTGATCGAAAAGCGTATTCCTAATTCATGTAAATTTTATTTTTTTCTGTTTTTCTTTGGTGAAAATGACGGAAACTACTTTCCATTTTGTGCTGAGGAATTCATGCATTCACATCGATGAGGTTGCTGCATTTTATTCTACTCGAACTTGAAATCTGTGCTTCTATACAAGATAGCTTCTGGTTTTTCTGTGATCTTCTTCCCAATTTTTCCCAAAATTGGAACAGTGAGAACGAGTTCTGAGCACGATCACTTTACTTTTGCTTATAATTTACTAGTTGCCGTAATTTCCAGCTTGATTATGATAAGTTTCTTTTGGAGGAACTCAAGACTCGCATTGGGAGGAAGAAAAGGAAAATTATTATAGTCAGGCCCTCTTGTGGGCAGAATCGGAATTCATTTTGGTAAAATTTCTGAATCCTTCAGACCAATCAGCATGCATCCACTGCTCAAGGAGACATCGAAACCGGATCAGTGGCTGCTATCCAACAGCATCATAATCGGTCAGCCATAAGCCGGGCGCATGGGCACCCTGTCGGACAATCCCATGGACAGCATTCTTCTGTGAAACATTTTGTCTCAGCATCCATGCCTACTGAAGCCGCTGTACAGGATTATGGTTGTGCCGAACCCGAGCTTGCAGTCATTCCCGAGAGCCCGAAGTCTGATGACGATGATGACGAAGAGGACTCAACGTCCCAACAAACTGTATGTTTCTCTGTTGCATATGAATCTATGAGTACCCTGAATTGCAGAAGATGCTACCCCAAGCCCATGCGAAGCATTCTGAAGTCCTCTAATTTTGAAGGATTAACCTTTTAATCTCAAGGTTTTATACTGAGGTGTTCACTAAAAGCAGAACCGTTCGAATTGTATTTCGCATTCAAAAAATGGAAGGAACTAATGTGCTCCTGTGAGGCCTACGACTTTATGGGTGGTTGAAAAGGAACAAATTTTCAAGGAAAGAAAAGAAAGAGTGATACCTAGCCATCGACATTTTGATAGAGTAGTTATTCTCCTAATGGTTGAATATACAATTTTTGCTCTTTCAATCAGCGTCGGATGATCAAAAACACAGTACAGGATAGTTGAAGGAGTTATTCCATCGACAACTTCATAGACTCGAACAGAAAGATTTCAATGAAGTTGCCGACAATTAGCATGAAATAAGCCAAGGGTTTGAGGAATTGTTGTATATTGAAATCGGGTTTTGGGAAATGATAAAGTTCCTACGCTGATTTCAAAGCTTTGTTTTATCAATTTGGGAACTTATGAAAGCACTATTTTTCCGCTAACCTTTGCTAATATGTTTAGTCCGAGCTTTTGGACCTGGTGGTGCCCCTAAAAGAGCAGGATGCTGTTGCTTCTATCCATTCCGATGATCCCGGTGTTGCCGAAGCAAAGCTGCTGGTGTCCCAGGTGAAGACTTGCAGACCTCCTTGTACAGCTAGGGTATCCTTTGAAGAACCTGCGTCTGGACCAGTAAGTCGCACCTGCTGAACATTCGAAGGTATGAAATGCATTTTTGTTCTGGGATTCAGGCAACGAAGACTCCGTCCGCTTTGCCGTCACCTTACGGACATTACGGAAGGGTGTTCGATCCCCATCCGCGTTTGCACTGGAAAATTTCAGATAATGCTGAGCAAGCACGTGCGGAGGTGTTGGAAAGATTAGCATGTACGCATGAGGTGACTGATTGAAGAGGAAAATGAGATTCCAGCATTTTTCTCACGAAGAAACAATTTTCTTGTAGTTACCAGAAGTCACCCGGGTCAAAGTTATGGAACCCCCTGTGGTAATTTCCAGTACGTCCAGTGAGACCAGCGAAGTGTTGCAGTATCCAGCTCAGGAGAGATTGTTGCCCATTGGCAGTCCTAAAGGTAAATCAAATTTTCTTATTATATTCAATTTCTACTTTAAAACCGTTCTATCCTGGGGAAGAAATTGCTTTTCATCTTTTTTGGAATGAGTTCGGAGGGAATATTTTGAGGATTGATCTGATATGTAGATGCAAACAATTATAAACTGGATTAATTGTGTTGCAAAAGTTGTGGACTCTCTCTGCAACGAAATTCAAGGGCCCGGGACCCTTGATACCCGGGAAAAACTCGTTGTAGGTAAACCGTTTACCATGGGGAGAGAACCTTATGGGACAAACCATTTGTGATATCGAGAATATAATTGTAGACAAGATTGTTGTATAGAGAGTCCACCTTTATTTTGCAGTATTTATAAATGAGAGAATTTGTGGAGAGAAATTGTACTTGACAGTTGCTCATCCTCGAGATAGAGGAAAGGTATCTTTTCTCGCTCACATTCCAGGAAAGTGATGAGGGCTTATATTTTCGGTGGTGTCTGAAAATGAGTCTACATTCCAGGAAAGTGATGAGGGCTTATATTTTCGGTGGTGTCTGAAAATGAGTCTATGACTTATTCAACGTTTCATTTTTAGTGATTGGTGCCAGTGTCGAGCTACATTTTTTATTTCCGAATTTACTGTAGACTTACGTTCGTTCGCAGTTGCCAGCAGGTTGCTGCATTTTGATACCACGGGAATAGACTCCTCGTCCAGAGATGAAGACTCCTCAGTGCATGGTAGGCCACCAGATGCTTTTCGAAATGATCGCGGGTTGAAATTACGCCGATTTATTTTTTCAGGTGGCAGTTATGAGGCCTCAATGTCAGAAGACACTCCTCAGTTGTCCGAGGATGTGTTCCCGCCAGAAATACCTGCTCCAGAGCGCTTGTTACCTGTTGGACTCTCGTCAAGGGCAGCTATTGTCCAGAAACCCGTGAGTTGATGATGCTTTTGGCCCGGAAACTCGTCGTTGAATGCGTACGTTGCAGTTGATCATGGAAGCCAGTGATGCGGTTGTGGTTCAGCAGAATTCGCCAAACTCGACCGGCAGCAGCTCAGGTAAAAAGAACTTCGGCAGACAAATGAGTCTGGGGAAGTGGGAAGGCAAGACCATGCCTGAGATGGACGCTCTTGATGAAAAACCTCACTCAGTAATGTGAGTCGAATTTCGAGCATGAAAAAAACTTTCATTTTATTGTCCAACGTTTTTCTCTTAGGGAAACAATCGAGAACAAAAAATCGGAATCCAAGCCGAAGCCGGAAGAAGAAAAGATCCCGGAGGAGGAGGACGAAGATGATGACGTGAGTGGAGCTGTGACTCTTGGAGGTTATCTGCCCATCAGAAGAGCAGCCCCGAAGATTATCGACTGTGGAGGAGTGGTTGCGAGGTGCAGCAAATGTGGGCTACCCTTGGAACACTTTTCGGATGAGGACCTGGCTTTGGCAGTTTTGGTTCTGACTACATTCATCAGGCGTGAACCAGCGCTAGCGGCTCCCAACCTACCGGAGATCATTGTTACCATTGCGAGGTATTGTTTCATTCATTGAATTTTCGATATTGAAAAAAGTGGAATATTTGGGTACTCTCGCAGTTTGGCCTCAAATCCTCAATATCCATGGCAAGTGGAAGGCAACACTCACATTCCAGGAAGCGCGCTTTCTGTTGCACGGCAAGCATTGCGTTGCATCTTCGCCCAAATGGCCCCGAACAACGTTTTCCCTCAGCTTTTCCAGTCCTTCACCTCAGGTACTGAATTTTTCCCTCCCGCTTTGAAGCCGAATGGTCCGTGTAAAATGTTGAACGCGGTTGTGCCTGCATGTAGGACGCATTTTCCCACTGAACTTCCGTTTTTTTTCTGAGAATCATTGCTTAAAATGCGTGCGACCTTTATCCATGTCTACACGAAAAATTAACTAGCCTCACTTCACCTGGAGGAGGGCTTTTAAAGTTTTTCTGGGTTGTACCTAGTGCGAAGCATGACGATATCTTTACCAAAACAATAAACCACCTGGTGGGGTTCCAGCATATCACAGGTTGGGTAGCCCTGACCTTAAGTTCTGTCCTTCAATTGCGATCGAATGAAACCTGGACAAATCTGGGCGACGCCTATCTTATGACAAAGTAAATTTTGGGGTTGGAAGACGCAGGCGTTAAGTTGGGAAATTATTTAGTTTGATTTATTTTTAAAGCTCATGGTTGCTTCATGTGTACTTCACAGAGGCGCAAAGACCGAAGTTCTTCAAGACGGTGTCCCAAGTATTGGGTGACTATGCCGACATGAATCCAGCGTCGCCATTGCAGTTCATGCTCGAGGTATCTTCTGTGTGACCTTCTCCCGTTTTTCCATTGCTCAAATTCGAGGTCTGATGATTGCAGCAATATGGCGGCAAGAGACCTCTCCCAATGAACTCGTTGAACACCGTTTTGGCAAACATGGCGGTTTATCTGGAAGTCGTTCCGTCCGAAGCTTTGGCGATCTCGGGGTCCAATTTAGTGCAGGCCATGGAAGTTTTCTTCAGGAAACTGGTTCTAATCATGTCCAGCATCACCCATTTTAGGGCGTTGTTGAGCATCATTGCGTCTGTCCTGAAACTGCCTGCTGTTGCATCCTACAAAGTTTGTAGCCAGTAGAGCTTCGATGAATACTCTACTGTGATACATGAACTGTTCCTTCTTTTCAGGGACTCTTGGAGCCTTTTGGAAAAGTCGTTGGTTATTGTTTGATCACTGGTGCTATAAGTTTCCCTATGCTGACTCAAATTTGCCACTGGTGTAACAGAGCATTCTCAAGGGTACTGTTCCGGTTGACATTTTCTCAACATCGAAGGATCATCGTTCGTGTTTTTTTTTCTAGGAAAGGGACAAGCTTTACATGACGAGATTGGCAGTGGTGGAATTGTGCTCTGTGCTGAGGTTCAAATCGACTGCCCCCGAAAGGAGTGTGTTGATGATGACGCAATTAGTGTTGTCGGACTGCGGGGCAGGGTATCTCCCTCTGGGTGATGAGCACCTGGCAGCTAACATCATATCTCCCTTGGGAGTTGATAGAGAGTGTTCCTGCAGAACCTGTTGGGTGGAAGATTGCAAAGAGGATCCCTTGAACCCCGTGAGCACTTGTGCCGCGGACTGCATGCGAGCTCATCTGAGTGAGATCATCGACTACATCGCTGACGCGCACACTATCTCAAAAGTAAAGGTGGGTTGGTGGGATTCTCGGTCTATTTCGTGTCCCGGCTGTTTAATGCGGTCCTTTTAGAGCGCTTTCGAGGCCCATCATAGTCCGAATAAGGACAAGCTCGGAGGAGTGCTGAAGGGGGGTTTGGCGCAGTTCTTGGCTCAAGAGATGTACAGGAATGGTGCAGGAGTGCCGTCAAGGGAGAACAAGGTCATCGTTCGGTTCCTGCCTTGGTTGACGAACCCTCCACCTCTGGTTCAACAAGGGTAAATCCGTATTTTTGTTGGATACCGCTCATGTATTGACGCGTGTGTTTAGCCCCAGGGAGTTCGTGGAGAGTGTTGCGCACATCAGGCTGCTGTCATGGCTGCTGCTTGGAGCGTTGCATCATTTAGGAGGAGCACCTTCGTCTGGATTCGTTGGAGCTGTTCATGGAGGAGCATCCTGTCAACCGCTGTCATTTGATGCGTCCAACCACATAGCGGATCACATTCAGGGGATCTTGGCGGGGTTTCCTGAACAGTCAAAGGCATCCGTGATCCACATGAGTGCCTTGTTTCATGTGTTCATCCTGTGTCAGGTGAGATGGCGTGTGTGTGTGAATGCGAGACGGAAGGAGGTAACGTGAGTTTTGTTCGCAGTTATGGACAGTATACGTGGAGCAATTAGTGAGGGCCATGAGTGGCCCAGGGAGCAGTGGGGATGCCGAGTCTAGGTCTCTTTTGACCGACTTTTGGGCGAAAGTGACCCCAGCCATCCTGAGCTTGGTCTCACACTCCAAAGTGGTGAGTGAAGCTGAGCCACCAATGTTAGAGGGTGTTTGTTTTGTGGGTGCTGATTAACCCTGATTATTCTTTTCGTGGAATCCTGAAACCCTGCAGGAAGTGGAGGAGCAGGTACTCTTTGGTGTCATATTTGGTTACGCTCTTTGGCAAACCCACTGTGTCTGCTCACTGTTGAATGTTTAGACCAAGCATGTGACCCTCCATTGGATTGGATACCCCCTTGATCGATGTTCCTTGCGTGGTAGTTCCCTGGATGTGGAAATCTGTGTAAGCATAGTTCTCGTTAGCAGCTTCAAAAGGGGGCAACCAGAAGTGCACTGCACTGCAACCTCTTGAGTGGATTCCTTGGGTGTCATAGATAGATTGGGTTAAAGGCACATTAGTGGATGTGTTGCACTTTATAACAGACAGGGGTTGCCGTAAAGCAGGTTCTTTGTGGTGGGTTTTCAGATGGCTGAGATGGTTACACCTCACTTTTTGAACCTCATGGAGTCCCTGTTCGAGTGTCAGTCTTCTACGGTTGGGGGTTTGATGCCGCTCTGGGTTCCAGTCCTGTACTCGCACTCGAGTCAAGTGAGTTTTACAATACAGTTCATTCGACACCTGCAGCAAATTCAGTATTTTACCCCTCTTGAAGAAATTTGTCCTAGGAGTATTTTCACCCTATTCTGTACAGTGTGGGCCTCTTTCTGGCCTGGATTAACTGAATTCTTAGACACATTTTGAACATAACAGCCTTTAGTTCCGTGCACTAGTTGGCTCAATTTAAGAATAGAATGGTCGAGAGATAGATGGGCCAAGTTTTGAGTGCCAATAAATTCCCCACTGAAGAAAAGACGAATAAAAATAGTCTCAAATGAGATTTTTGATCAATTTCTTTCAGTTTTGGTTTCCAATTTTTGAAGTCATTAATGTGAATTCTGGGGTCAGTTGAAAACCACAACTTTCAAGAAAGTTTCTGAAGGAGGGAAAAGATTTGACTCAAAGTTGAATGTCTCAGAAATTAAGTTGACACACTTATTGTATGACATAATGTGCTTTCAAATGCTATGCAGGTAAAATCGCTTTCTACAACAAACCTGATTGCAAGGATGACTTGCTCTGTATAAACTTTGTTTGGTCTCATGATTACATAGGGGCTGAACCCAATATAGGTTCTCTGTAAAAACAAAAATTCTGGTACCCTGCATTTTGTTGTAGAAAGAGTCCACCTGTAGACATTCTGAATTCTCAAAATGTGAGTATCATAGCCTTAAACAAGGCAATCATGCGCATCACTGTTCAGGGCTTGCATACTTGCTCAAGTTTTCCTTCGAAGTTATGATACCAAATGTCAGAGGCTATAGTCGCTGAGGAAACTGATGAGGTAGTTCACTCGTCGAGACAAATTTTGATTCACGTTTCACTGTATATGACGCAAAGGCGATCAAAATGACCTACACGTTTCTTGAAATTTTCATTTTATTTGTGTGATACAGTTACCAGGCCATTTGCAAGTAAGGATGCAGACATTACTGAGCTGGCAACCGGCTATGGACAAGGATGACGAGAGATGTCCGTCATCTCAGATCCTGCTCTCAAAATGGCTAGCCAAGTTGCAGCTGAAGATGGCCCAGCTGGAAAGGGAATGCTCTGCAGCTTCTCAGATATACTCAGCCTAAGGAATATTTATAGTTTTAATCAAGCAATCATACACATTATATCAAATTGCGTGAATTATGAGCAAATACATTTACAATATTGCAACTGTTCCATACACAAGTTGTTTCATTCTGTCAGTTTTTCGGAAGATGCGGAGGAAAACTGGGATTATTTCGGCTGACAGTACTTGACTGATGAGTATGCTGCATGGTGGCTCCCCATTTTTTCAATAACAGTTCGGTACCATAAGTACGTGAGATTTCCTACTGCGTTGATGCGATTCTAGACAAAAATTAGCTGAAAATATGTGGCATACCTGCGCTGCTTGGTGTACGCAGTCCAAACATTAACGAAGACGAATAGCAGTAAAATATGAACACCGTGAACTGTAGGTGCTGATGAGTAGTGCGCCAACTTAGGTAAAAGCATGGGCAAGGCCCAGGTGTGAACTGACAAGATTCCAATCAAATTATGTTGGTACATCCTGTGACAAGCTGCCATTATTACCAATTTTCAAAAGATTCTCTGGACCAAATATGTCATACATATATTGTAATCCTAATAAAATGGGAAACGTTGTTAATACACCATCCACCATAATTGGCAGAAGAGATATGCCCTTTCCGATTAGTTTTATCTCAGCAGTACTGACAGATGCGGTTGAAGTGACTTCAACTCACATTACCATAACAAAGCCCAACGTCTACTCTTACCATGTCAGAAGTAAACAACAAATAATTTTAGTGCTCCTAATAACCTTTTAATCAGGGTAAATTTCTTGGTTTGAATAAAATCTTTGGTCAATTAAATTTACATTGTAATACAGGATATGAATCGTATTCAGTTCCCCAAATGAAATGTTTAAGCTATCAATTTATAAGATTGGATTTTCATAACCTATCCATTGGGTTTCACCAATGGATGATGGTATCTTAATGAAATAATGAGGTTAGCATTATTTATTGAGAACTAAAGTAGATTTGGCTGAAGAAGGAAGTGAGTGCAGGAAGAAAAAGTATATATAATTATAACATGGGTGACATCCATCAAGCAGCAATAAAGGAGCCCTTTTCATCTTCAGCTCCGAAAGGTTATAGGCTGTTCATATCAAATGATAAGACAGCAATACTCCAATATACAAACTCAACTGAGGTTTGATTATTCCTGAAAGAAATTTAGAATATTGCAAGTACAAATAGTTTTGACAGATGTGCACAGCAGCGAATGAAACTTCGGCCAATTCCGAACTGATTCTGGGGAATTGGGCACCAATTTTTGATAATTTACAAATATATATATGATTCTCAGTCGATGATGTTCTTCCACTGAAACTTCTCCAGATCTGCTCATGGTTCTCTGTGTGCCGCTTCCTAGCAGTGCATAAATTATGAACCAGAGCCAAAAGGTAAGATTACTTTTGGTATATTCATTTTTGTAAGAAGTCCGGTCCAGTGACATTGGGAACTGTATCCTGTGAATTTGTGTTTGCCATTTGACACGTTAATTTCGAAACGCCATTCAATTCACAAAATTGCCAACACCCCCAAATACCTATAAATTTGTCTTGAATTGATCAAAACAAATGCTGTAGAATGAATCAAAATTGTTCTGACGGCTTTGCTTCCATATTAAAAAAGTACAAATACAGTAGCTCGAAGATGTGGGAAACTCAAGTCTAGACCAGGGCTTTTCAATGTTTTTGAGGCACCTACCATTTTTCATCCACTAGAACAGTTGTGTACCACTCGTGAGGTAAAATGTGGGTTTAAATAAAATGATAAACCATATGTTCTGGAATATAATGTACCTCACCAGCATCTCAATTGCCTTTTTACATCATCAAATACTTTTTATGGAATTGGTGATCATAATTCATCACAATTTCAAGGTCTTAGGGATTAAATTAAGTTGAAACAGGGAATGCTAGAAAAAGGAGTTCTTAGCAGAGAATTCAATTTGTTGACAAGAGTAAAAATTTCTTACAAGCTTTGGAGGCTTCTAAAAAACAGATACACTGTAGAAAGTTTAAGCGGCACAGACTCAGGAACACATTTTCAGCTTTCAAAGTCTTGACATTTGTGTGTTTTTGACCACAATTTTTGTAAGAAAGAAGTAATGAGTGTCTGCTTATAGCTTCCAAATGATTTAATTATAAACTTGACTAAAATTTTTATAAAAATAATTTGTAGATGAAGATTTTTCAATCATGCACATGCAAGGGTTCAATCTTTTTCGCTTCTTAATTTTTCCCTTGTGTGCTGGACTTGTTACTCATCCTGCTAAGCATTTCAGTGCATTCTTCTGAAGTTTTGTTAACAAATTTATCAAATTATCATACAACAAACCTCATTTATTTTTGGAATGAAAAAAATTTGCTGCTCCATAAATGCTATGCTTGAAGCAATTTTAATCCTGAAACAAAATTTCAGAGATTCTGGATTCAGAAAACTAATTACACATCATTGACTCATGATTAAAATGAAATGTTTGTCAGGGTATGATATTGGAACAATTTCAGGCAATGAGGCAAAGTCTCAAGATTGCCTGGGATTTTCAGCAATTAATAAATTGAAGTGTTAAGCTTACTACAGGTGAACCTTGATAACACAAATCTCCCTAAGTCAAATACCCCACTAAGTTGAATTTTTTCAGGTCCCCATCTGAATCCTCTAAAAACAATACATTAAAAACATTCCCAAGTCAAAAGCTTTTCCCCTCAAACCTCCATAAGTTGAATTTCTTTGGCCTGTAGGCCATTATTTTCTTGACCCAAGAAAGAAAGAAAGCAATAAAAACATAAATTTGTGTGTTTTAAAGGAAGTGCAAGATTTGATTGGGCAAATGAACCCCTGCCTCCAAGTTCAGCAGCCTTTCAACTCATTCAAGCCCCAGAATATCACCTTGTATTTTATTCCAAGTTTCCCTGAAAAAAGGGCTCTGCATTGTATAGTTCAAACCAACATGGAATTCAAAACCTCCCCAAGTTGAATTTTTTTGCAGGTCCCATGAAATTCAACTTGGAGAGGTTCAACTGTAATATCCACAATACAATTTGATTCAGTTTTTCATTTGATGAACAGTTTTTCTGTCTTTTGAAAGCTGGATGGAAAGCTTGAATTTTTGTGAATCCTCTTTGTGCAGGCAAGGTAGAAGAACTCAACATTTGAATTACTAATTTTTCACTGTCCATAAATCTTTGAATCATTTTGAAAAATATCATGCTCAGGATACTTGTCCAGTCTCCAACCTTTTTTAAATTCAGGATGTTCTTCAGAATAAAAGAAATCCACACTGTTCAACTGTTCATCCATTGAGTAGAGGACAAGCACCATTTTGTGAATGTAAGAAATGAATCCAGAAGTACAATATAATTAATCTGGGACAAAAGAGAATCAAGGCAAAAAAGTTACACATTTTCCTAGGCTGAAATTCTACAAAATGATGAGAAAATATTAAAAAAAGAGAATTTAAAGTAAAGTACAGTAGTTGTTGCCTTCGCCAAGGTGTGGCTGAGTGAGCTTACATTTTTTCGGATTTTTAAAAATATTTTTTGGGACAGTATAGGCACATATACCACCTGGAAAGCACTTGCATACCACTGGTTGAGAAGTCCTGTTCTAGACAATCTTGATCATGATACTGTACAGTACTAGACATTTCCAGACTCATTTCAACGAAATAATTCTATAATCGGCAGATAGAGAAAAAATTTTAATTGCGCTAATCAAAATCAGTCATTCACTGATTTCGCGAACTCCTCTGGCGTAAGAGTTTTCAGCGTCAGGGCGTGAATATTGCTCATCTCTTCCTTGAGGGCGTCGTGAACCAACCTAATAGGGAAGCATTTTTTGAATAATCTTCGTGAAGAAATTCTGATTGGAAACGAACCTGTGCCTCTGGAGAGTTCTCAGATCTTGGAACTTAGCGGAGACGACGAAAACATTATATTTCGCTCCGCAGCCATCAGACTCGTCAACAAGATCCTAAATTTAGGAAGAAACCGAATGCGGATCAATGCCCGTCATGCAGTTTCGGAACGCTGGAAGACTTACGAGATGACTAGGTTCCAAGTGTTCTGTCAATCTTCCGGCCACAACGGATTTCTCCACCATGATTATGAACGACAGAAATTTTCTCAGAGCACACGAGATCAATCGAAGAATGCGGTTCTACAAATGCACGAAAGTGCAACATAATTATACGGATAAAAATATTCGTTATTCGTGTTGAAAAACGATGCATCACTTTTCAAATTTCACTTCCGAGGGAACGGCGCACTCCTCGTGCCGCTACCGCGAAAGAACTTCATGCGATGAGAACGGTTCTGAACATTAGGGATAGGTGGCCAGGATACGGCTATTTATTATCAGATCATGTTAAATCTTGAGTTAAAGACTTAAGAAGATCATGCATGCGCGGGATCGAGTGTTAACAATAATTGACCGCGATAAAGTATAATACAGAGCCAACCCAATATGATGGTTCATTATTAGTAACATGCTCCAATTCCAATGACATTGGTGCTTATGTACAGTACTGGCTCATAAAGCCCGTGAGTTAACAGAGGGAACGGTCACGTCCAGCACACGGTACTGTACCGTGCATTGTATTTTTTTAGTACAGTATAGGGTACGTGGCATATGCCTTTCAACTTCATGCAGACAAAATTCTTACAGTGAAATATCCATCATTCAAGTAGCATGCAAAGACTGTGCATGAAACAACGTCAACTTCATTTTCTATGGAATTCCGTGATTACTGTACTGTACAGTACAGTACATGTGATGCTGAATCTTTCTAGTATACGTGTGACATCTAAAGAAGGTCAAAAAAGTCCCTTGGGTCTAGGCAGGCTTCTCGTCCCGCCATACGGATGCAGCCTCGTGAATTGCAGACGTTTTTCTAACGAAGGATTGCAGTTAGCGGTCCACATTTGTTCGCACGCGAAACGTATTTGTACACTGCCAACTACGATGAGATTGGCTTGTGAATTGAGATGCGATGTCTCGAGGAAATGTGGTGGGGCAGAAATTCGTTCGGAATGAGTTGAATTATGGTGAAGTTGTAGCAAGCTTGGTGAAAAACATCCAGAATTTAATTCCGCGACCATTGCTTCGATGGATCGGTCCAGTCTTGTTCGGCGTCTGAAGATTTTTAATTCTTTCGGGTACAAGTGTGCCAATCTTGCTTGGCCCGTAAGTGTGTGATGTCCGGTGTGATGTCTTCGCATGATTGCGAATGTTCTTATGGCAGAAGCATAGATTGTCCCAGATATGAATCGCCAAAATACACCGGTTCCCTTGAGTGGTTTATCCCCTAATGCCCCGACGACTCAATCTTCTATTGCCCCGAATGAATCTTCCTCTCCTAGTTCTGGCTCCCAAGGAGCTTCGACACAAGTGAGCCAAGTAAGTTTTCTGAATTTTCTATCGTAGTTCCCATCTCTTCAGCATTCGGTTTTTCAGTTGATGACCCGATCAAAATTACAAGAGATGGTGAAGGAAGTCGACCCTCACGAGCAGCTCGACGAGGAGGTAGAAGATCTTCTCTTGGGTATGACGGATGATTTTGTGGAGAATGTGATCGACATGGCTGCAGATGTGGCTGTTCACCGTGGTGCAACTACACTCGAAACTCACGACATCCTCCTCGTCCTTAGTACGTGGTTCATTTAGGCTGTGTCGATTTTGATGAAACTTTGTTTTCAAGCTACATTCTCTTTTCGCGGGAATCCAGAGATCACCATGTCGGGCACTCTAGGGTATTTTTGTTGCGAAATTAGATCATACCGTGAATTTTATGTACAAAAACAGTCCAGTATGAAAGTTTCATGATGAAATTTTGATGAAACGAAGGTGTAGTACAGTATTGTGAAAGAAGCAGCGTGCATTTTGACATGACCCGCCCAACCGTAAAGTAATTTCGGCCGTCATAGAATTGAAGCTCGTGATCAAAGCCTGACGAATGTGAGCAAGACAGTGACAATTCCAGGACAATGTGTGTGGATTGTGTCGGTTTTTGAGTTACTTTTCTTCAACGAGGATGGGGGTTATTACTGAAAAGGCCAAAAAGTTTTCCTTTTCTCTCCGAGCGAGGTGCCAAGCACTTTCTTAGTTGGATGCCAGAATAAGTGCCGCCTTTCTTCACACTTTTCACCGCTTCTAACAGAAATTTCAAAATGGTGTGTTCAAAACTCGCCAAAATATGTACTGTATACCGTATTGGATCTATAGTGGCGCTTGCATCACCCGGTATTTTAATGAAGTTCGAATAGCAGATCCACGCCATCATTGCATGTGCTTTCTATGTAGAGGAAGACGGATTATGCATTCGATAATTTTTAACGTAATATCTGCTCACTTCGTGATCTTGAGGACTGCTCTGGACGCCTCGTAACATTGCGAAATTTGAGTTTCCGATTCCCCTCGTCCATTTTGAGACTTCGGAGAATTTAGAGCTTGTAATCTAGGATGATATCATGGCTTTCGAAGCACCGCGTTACTAAGAAACCGCACTTTTGCCGAATGAAACATTCCAATTCTACTCATTTATGCACGTCACTGCTGGGTGCCAACTCCCATTTAAGTGTTGGTCGCTGCACATATCCGCAGAGATAACTACTCTTATTTAATTGATCAGGCTATGTGATGAGAACTTCGAAAAGGTTGCTAACTTCGTGGCTGCACTAAATATGTTGAGAAACCAGGTCTGAAATGTGCTCTGTTTTTGTGGGAACAATTTTCGTTAGCATTCCTAGGATCTATTTGTGAATTTTGAACCTTCCATTTGTGATGCTTATCGTTCTTTTTCTATAGGCCATAAATTCAACATGTGGATCCCAGGATTCGGTGGATCAGAAGAAACCAGGCTTGTGAAGCGTTCTTCAGGAACTGAAGGCCACAGACAACGTCTTGCTGTGATCCGCAAAAGCAAAAACTGACCGTGTTAATAAATGTGCTCGTGTGAAAAAAGCGTTTTAATCCAGAACATGGTACGCGAATGCTGGATACGTTTTTGCTTTTCGTCTATCACTGAAGCACTGCGGGGGAAAATATTCCTCTTTTCGTGACTGAAACCGATTCGACCGTAATTTCTTGGTCCAGCCTGACTAATCAGGAGTTCCTTGTGAAAACCCACTTCCATTGTCTGGTTCAGTCTTGATCGTCGTGATAGAAGTCGGTTTCATACACTGGAGGTGTGGTTTACAAAAAAAATATCCCCGCCAGAAGCGCAACGGTGTATCCAGCATTCGAATCAGGTACCAAAACCAATCACAGGGACAAAGAGATCCAGACAGCCGAGAAAAGCATGGATGAGATGCCGACTATTCCTAGTAGCCTCCAAAGGAGACTGAAGCTTTTCCATGAATAAACGTTGAGCACAAACAGGGCTATGAAGAAGCCACCCAGGCCACCTGAGAGATGAGCTGTCCAACAGATGCTGAGCTCGGGCTTGGACTGATTGTAGAGGTATAGGTAGACATCTGTGATCAACAGGGTGGCAACTGCGAGCATAGGCAGGATTTTCCGCTTGATATCCTTGTAGTTCTGTGAAGAAAGGGTTCTGGTTAGTTGAAAGATTGATCTCCTCATCCGCACGTGAGGTTCTAAGATTGGAAGAATCTTGTTGAAAACCTAATGCAGTACTGTACCCTCTCTTTTTACGCATAAGTAAAAACAAAGTTTGTGCATTTGACCTGATCGCGGCCCAGTTCAATTCGAATTTCTGTCAATGTATTCGTTGAGCAAAGCACTTCCTACAAATTTATGTAGAAACAGACTGTCCTCTGCAAGTTAAACTCAACCGATTGCAATAAAATTACTTTTAGATCCCTCTCCAATATTCACAATGTCAGTAAGGTTAAGTTATAATCAAGCTATTTTACTAACCTATTGGCTATTTTACTAACCTAATGGCTTTGTTGTAACAAAATGTTACTGTAGCTGGACTCCCAAGTCTCAACACTGATCTTGCCTACAGTTATTTTCTCTATATAACAGATATTTTTATGGTCCCATAAACTCTCCTCCTCATGTTACTGTATAGGGATTCTCAACAGCAAAAATCTACAATGATTTTTTCTGGTCCCTTGAATTTTATGGCCGATTGCTCACCTGTCTCAACTTTTTTTTTAACAATGTGGACCAGCCTTTTTTATAATAGCTCAGTGAAGGTGCTACAATGTTGAGTGATTGGGTCACTATACTATGGATGGAAGCTCCAGAGTTTTTTAGTGTTGGTGATCAGATTGGAAAACATTGATTCAGGATTACTAATCTTCCACAAGTGATGATTTTCTTTGAACTTCAGAACCTCGATCCCGACGTATGTGAAACAAAATAACTTTCTGCTGAGTTCTAGGACACAGCTTCCCAAAAGGAAGTGCTTCTGTGGCAAGTTTCTATCAACTGCTGCAGCCCAACGAAATCTCGCAGAGGAAGCGTTCCCTTTTATTCGTATGTTCTGAACTTACTACAGTGTGAGCCTTCCTCCAATGCACTTCTGAACGCTTTAACCCACAAATTTGACGGTCTAAGCCATGGTTGTAGCAAATTCAACTTGCTGAGTGCACGTACGAGAAGGACATCAGCCACATGGCCCGCCAAAACACCGTAGATTCCGGCGGAGGCGCCGATGACGAAAGTGCTGGGTTCCAGGACGCCAGTACCGACAGCACCCAAGACCCCGGCGCCGAGGTAAACAGCTGCAGCTCGCCACCCATGCACCGTTTCCAATGGCACCGCTAACAGGGTCTGCACCACCACGTTGTGCACCAAATGCCAACCGCTCGCGTGCACCAGCATGTAGGTGGCGTAACGCCAAGGTTCTTCGCGCGCTGGTGGTCCGAATGCCAGACGACCTGGGGCCACTGCGAAACCCAGCACCTGACCAAAGAGAAACCGGCGTCATTAACATTGTATGAGGTACATTGGCGAGATTATAAGACCAAATTGAATGCCTTTTGAAATTTCCTAATACTGTAATGAAATGAAGATAGATTCATGCATGTGCTGGGATGCCATGTATGATGAGGATAGCTCAACTTATTTTCGTGGATAACTTATGTGTACAAGGATGTGCTTTTTTTGTTCTGGCACAGGTGGACTCTCTCTTCTACAAAATTCAAGGGACCAGAAAAACATCAAGACCCCCTTAAACATAAGGAGAGAACCCTATGGGACCAACAAATAATTTTTTGTACAGCACAGAGAGAAGTGTTGTAAAGAGAGTCAGAGTCCACCTGTATATATTTCTCATTGCCATTCCGAAAATCAGTTTTCCTTCCCTCTTCTTAACAACATGAAAGAGAGCCTTCTTTCTTGTGGTTGACCTAAAGATGATTGCAGTACATGCACATCATTCAATCCTTATTTTGCATTGTTAGAATATAGTGCGTATTGCATCTCAGAAAAAAGCTGAGCTGTTTCCTGAGATTTTGTCTGCATTTGTATTGTATCATTTCCTATTGAGAAGGAACTCCCAATGTTTTCAGGAAAGCCACTTTTTAAAAATTAAAACTAAAGGGAAGTGTCTTGCATGCAAGAAAAAATTGTATTTTTCAATGATGTAATTTAAAAAATATAATTCACAAAGTAATCCTGAGTTTATATTTGAACATAGTGACGTCAGTTACATGGTGACTCAGTTGCAACCCAATGATAATCCTCAGAAGAATATCAAGGTTTCTTTGATTTTGGCCAATTTTTCATCCAATCCAACAGCTTTTTATAAGAGTGATCAGGCGGGGTTCTCTTCAGAATACAATCCGTATTCGGGCCCAGCTGTGGAGAATGTTAGACAGTGACATCTTTCTAATACAGATAAAAACGCTTGACAAAAATTTTCAATGGGCCTTCCAGGTGATGTTCTGATGCGGATTTTCCCTTTGATTCAAATAACCCATGCCTCTCATACCTTCTCTCATCTGAAACGATTTAAAACGGGACTCCGATCATCCGGGCTTTGATTTTATATGCGCCCATTTATTCTTCGAGATGAGGAAACCATGTGACCTTCGTAATTTTATCATTATTTCTCTTCAGTTGAATCTTCGATCTTTTAATAACTTGCATCATTGAATTACCGTCAGGTCATCGTTTAATTTTTCGAAGTACTGCACCAGTATATACAGCATTCCATTATCTGTAACGTTCGATCAACTGATGGACGGACAAATAAGTCACGAGGTTATTGTACGTATTGGATGACCGCGCGGGATATTAAAATAATTGGTACACAGCGCAGCTTCGCGTTTATTGAAGCTGCAGTCTTAATTTCTTGAATCTCAAAATAGATGAGAATATTGTTGGATTGCATTCAATTTGGACAACTGTACTTTCGAACTCATACTGTATAGCTGAAAACAGTTCAATAAACTGTACAGTAGTGAGACCCTGAGATGCGGACGGAATGATTCTTGGACCCTATCAATAAGGTCCAGCATATATATTTATTTACAGGGACAATATGGTCCCTGATGCCTGAACATCCTCATGTTGGTGGATTTTGTTTTCCCATCGCACTTCAATAATGGGGACTTATATAATTTGTTCTCCAGTTCATCAAACTTAGGAATAGATCCTCCAAAAAATGAATTCAAGTGTGTTTCTCAATTTGAAGGTACTTAATGTAATAACGGCAGGAAAAACCACACAGAATAATCTGATCTTCTGGTATCAAAATTACCCCAAAAAGTACAAGTCTTGCTTTACTGCTGTGCACAGATAATGGAGAATGCTCCAAAGATAAATGAAGCACAAAATTAAACGGTTCTTTGGTTATGAATTTAATTAAATATACAGGTGAACATATGTAAGTCAAATTTCAAGCAGGGACCATAACACAATTAGCTTAGGGAGTTTCAGAGGTTTGAGTTACAGAACCAGTCAGTTTTTTTTTTGTGCTGAGAAACATAGAAGAATTGCACAGTTTATGTAAATGGCAATATTCTGGGCCTTAAATTGCTTCTCAAATGAGTGGACAGGATACTGAACTTGGAGAGGCAAGGGTTCAGTTAATTGTCCATCAATGGGTTTCACTTCAATCCTTTCAAAACACATCAAATGCCTTTTTGTTGCTTTTCTCTTTCCTGTGTCAAGAATATACTGACCAAAAGCCTCAAAAATTGGACTTATGGATGCTTTAGTGGAATAGCCTTTAAGTTAGATAGGCTTTTAATGCATTGTTTTTAAGGGAATTCAGATGAGAACTTGAAAACAGATTTGATTTTGGGAGGTATTTGACTTAGGTATAGGTTCAAATTATTGAGGTTGAGAGGTTCAACTGCATTGCATAATGAAGTTCATTTTCAAGCTTTGTGAATAAAAATAGCTCAATTGGTTCAAAAACTGTTGAAATTTTGTGAAATAAAAATTTTCCATTTATATTGAAATGCTGGAAAAGCGTCTTTATGTTGAGATACATTCATATGTCTTGTCAGCTTTTTAGAAGTTGCAAGTGTCCCCGAGTCGAATCGTCTATATGTCGGGGTGTCCGTATTTCGGGGCCTCACAGCTGTATTATTGAAAAAGATGGTTTCTCCATATAGTGTGATGGGAATAAATCCGAAGAGGCGCGTTATTCCCAAGGAAACCCGTGCAGCGGAAATAAGCAACAGCGCAGGAATCGCGAGCATTGTTCCGTCGGAACAAATGTTGGACAATGAAATGCTGGGAGATTTCCGGAAATATTGATGCTTGGTACAGTCGGTTGCGTCTCCAGACTTCGGGGAGAAGCAGAACAGTTTCCCTGATGTGTTTTTTTTTCCTCCTCCTTTTTGTTTTCTGGTGCATGCAAATCATGGCTAGAGGAGGCCGTGGGAAAACCCCGGCCCCCTGCCCTCATTTGCATACATTCTTTCCTCTCTGCTTGGATTAGCAAATAATCCCTTAATCCGTCCAACCCATCAAAATCGCCCTGAGTCTGGAATTGCCTTTCCCA